ATAGGGTGATGTTTCGCCACATCACACAGGAATCAATAATAACGAGTTCGCATATAAACTTACAAATCCTGGATGAATTACTTGATTCTGTGTATCAGAACCTTATTTTAAGTTAAGTTAGTCCAAAACAAGGTCTCTGATAGAGAAGTGGTTCATAACCGAAAGAAATTGCAACTGATATACACGCGACACTTCAGGTCGCCACCAGCTTAAAGAGCTGTGTTGCCGGACAACTACAGTAGTGAATCCCACCTAAGTAGAACAGAACAAAAGTTGCTGGCAACTCTGTGACTGGCAATCGTGGCTTAAGTTAAAAAAAAATTGAATCCCGACTTTGCTTTGAGGCAGATATGAGAATTGATTACAGCTTCTATGACTGGATGTGGGCATAAAGGAGATTACTAAGCCCATAAGTGCTATTCTTGTCTGATATTAGAATGTACTCAAGAGTTTAAACTTTGACGTACATTCGAAAGATGGACCGGCTTTTGTTCAATAAGGGTTTATAAGCAGCTTCCAAAATCAGCCATGCTGTTTTGGTCTAGAGGAAATCAATACTTCGTAAATGTTATACTTTATTGTATTATATTTTGAAAACAAATTCCATTGCATAGGTTGAAATAGGTTAAATTATACGAGTATATATAAATATATATTGAACTGATTAAATGCAAAAGGAACTAATTTAAAACGGATATAAAATATTTTCCATATTAGATATTGAAATCCAAGTTAAAAGTTTATCAAATTTGAAGAGAAAATATTTTATTTATTACAATCTTTACCTCATACAAAAATATATAAATAAAATAAAATAATTTTTACTAAAATACTAGTATGAATATAAAAATCAAATTCTTTTATACGTACAGAAATATAAAATTGACTGCATGTGTTCTATGATAAAAAAATATATATAAAAATAGATATATATACGTATGGGAGCAAAAGTTTTTTGTCAATATTTAAGATATTTAAAAATGCTGGCATCTGCTGTTTCTATTTCAAGTAACTTCAACTTTTGTGCCATGTTGCAATATGGCACACTTATCTAACATGCCACAAATAAATTTTTGTGGCTCTTTGAATTAAAAATTGTGACATTTTTCCAAATGAAGTGGGAGGTAGAAATAATTTTGCATACATGATTTTAAGATTTTATATTTAACTCTCTAAAGGTTTTTCTTTTATCTTATTTGAAGTCGGTTTGTTTAAAATTGCATACTGAACTTGTTTGCACTGCATGATGACTAAGCAAATCATATGCCAGGTAAATTACTCACACTAAAGGTTAAAGCTGCATTTATTTTTTTGTATAAAAACAATATGGCAAGTTCTATATACTAGTATGTATAACTAGGAAGAAAATTATAATCAAAGCATACATCCTTTTCATAAAATACACATTGGTGAAGAGATAGAGTACTATAAAGGTGACATGCATATAAACTATATACTAGCTATGCATAAAACTTATTTTAAAAAAATGTCCTTAACGTTTTGAATACTTCTATATACATAGATGGCTACATATAATATATATTTATGAGTACATCCTTTTCATAGTGTTGTAATTGAAAAATTGCTTTTCTGGTGTTAACTGAAGTGAAGTAATTTTTTACGGCCAAATTTATTTATTACAAAAAGTAGACCTTTAATTTAATGAAACAAAGTAAGTTAATTGAAAATATTTACGTAGCTATTTTAAAATAAATAAGATGAATTATTATTTATATTGTCAGTGAAACCATTTTTTCATTACAAATGCCTGCGGATATTAAAGCAATTAAATTTTAATTACTTTTATTCATATTTGATTAAAACGCTTTTTCCTAATTCAAAATTCAAAAATAAAATACTAAAATATTAAACGATTTTTTAATAAAATAATAAATAAAGCAATATATATACCAATAATATTTACATTCATTGATCAAAAAAATTATTTTTATTGATAATGAAGTATATGAAGAATGCGTTTTTATTTAATTTTTTCACAGCAAGTTTGCTGTGTTATTACCTATTATTAGACTCCTCTGTGAATACTACTGAAGTCTCCAGCAAGCTAAGGCTAAATGTAACATGGACATTATGAGGAATTCACACTTTTAAAACTAAATATCACTTTAACATTACAATTAGAGACACAATTATTTTCATTTTCGTGAAGAAACATTCCTTCAAATTTAAAATTAATTAAAAATATTTATGCTCTTATCTTTAGCAAAGTTGTTTTTAGCTTAATAAGCAATTAAATATTTTTTTTGTGATGTTTCTGTATCTTAACCAAAAACGTTTTAAAAAAAATTCCATTAAAATGCCAACATGCTGGTGTAACTCTTCTATCACTTGAACTTTTTATCCTCCGGGCTTTACGCTACTTTTTTGACTGCAATAAACAACATCGTCCTGTGCTTTATAATTAATTGCTTCGTTTGTTTTGGCAACAAAAATGAATGTTGCTGCAACATATGTATGGCATCTTTTTTTGCATTCTGGTGTGTTATTTACATTGCGCTGCTTTGGCAACTGCTGCTGTGTTGGCAACATGACACACAGCTACGCTAGTCGCGGTGTCATTATGTATATATATGTATGCGATTATTTCTTTTGTTCAGCTGTGCATGCATGCATATGTGTACGTGTAAGAACATTCATGCATGCATTTGTGTAAGCGAGTAGCAGTGGAGCGCTTCCGCTGCATGCCAGTGTAAAATTTTCGTTACAAAAATACAAAATGAATGTTTTACGCTATTATCTTTATTTATTATAATTTTTTTCATTATTATTTTACCTGTGCAATTCCGTGCGTTGGTAGGCTACTGTGAAATTATAGCGAGTGTACATTTGCTGCCCTTAACGAGTGATTTACGAGTAAACTGCTTTTATAGATTTAAATAAGTAATAAAATTTAAATTTTTAATTTAAATATGTTTATGTTATTATGCTCGTTTAATCACTTTATTTAATTATGGGCGGTCGTTAATTTCATATATAAAAAGTTAAATAAAATATTTACTTTTAATTTGCTTTTAATTTGCTCATTAAAGAATAAATAATATATTGTGTACATTTTTAAAAGTTAAAAATATTATAAATATTTACATATTTCACAAACAAAATTATTTTATGCAATTGGTCATATATTATTTAAAATAAAATTCACTCCATGCTTGAACAGGGGATGAATCCATTAAATCTTGTTTTCTTTATGTATATTTGCTTAACATAATTGGTACAGATTTGGCGTTTTTTGCTAGTGTTGTTCAAGTTTTTAATCGTATATATTTTAAATTAATGTTATAATGAGCATTTAAACATGTTAAACTGAAAATTGAATACAGAAACAATTTTTCGTATAACTATAGCATTTTAAAAAGTCACTCCCTGAAATATTTCTGCTATCGGCTTTACATATTCTAAAACCAGATTAAGTATTTATTAAGTACTATTATATAAAATAAAAGATTAATAAATCTTCAACAGGCAATTATATCAATTATATAACTTTTTCCAAGTTCATGGAAAAAAGATTGATTTATTCAAATGAAAAATTTAAAATAAAAATTAGTAAATAAAAAAATAATATAAAATAATAAAAATAATATAAAAGAATAAATAAAAATTTTTTTGTTGTAGTTCACTACTGTTCGAAATAACCTCTTTATAAAAAAGTTTAAAAATTTGATTTAAATGAGAAACTATAAATCAATATAAATTTCACTAAAAACAATAAGAAACAATTTTCAGCTTTGTAGATCACAACAGCAGTGGTTGGTGATATAAAATAATTAATATTAGATTAAGTAAATACCGCAAAGAATTGCCTCGAAAATTGTTATTTACTCTAACAGTCAAGCTGCTCTTAAAGCTTTGTCTTCTTGGAATTTTAAGTGGAAACAGGTCCTTGAGTGTTATGTGCTCCTACAGTTACTTGCAGCTCAGAATAAAGTAAGCCTTTACTAAGAACAAGCTTATGAGCTAGCCAGAACTGCATCAAAAAATACTTTTTCTGGCCACCAACCCTTTTGTGGGTTACACTGGGGCACTGCTATGCTTTACAAAAACATTCTTAAATTTTCCAAATGTAATTTAACGTTAATAACGGGTTTCATTACAGGTCATTATGGCCTGAAATATCACCTTCATTAACTACGATTATCTACTAATTCGGAATGCAAATTATGTCTCGAAGATGGGGAAATTACTATGCAAAAATTCTTTATGACTGTCCAGCTTTAATAACGTACAGAAGAAACTTGTTTCATATTCAATTTCTGTCACCAGAACAGATTAAGAACTCTGCTTTAGACTTAGTTCACGACTTCGACCGGATTAACAGTGTACGAGGTCTTCTCTAGACTTAGTTCTCGACTTCGTTAGCAAAGGTTTAAAGGGCTTTGTGTAATCAATAGTGAAAATGGTACAATAGGACTCTTCTGGCTGCAGTATAATAATAATAAATACCGCGAGCTTAAATGGCGCCATTTAAAATTACTTAAGTCCACATATGTATTTAATATTTAAATTTAAATTTAAATTTATACCGATTTATATGCAACTGCATTGGAGTAGATATTAATATGTGATTTGAATATAGAACCCACAAAGCATAATTAAATTAAAAATGTAATAAATTATGCATATAGCACAGAACCTGTAAATTTTAATACATAAATATTTTTTTAAGTGATTTTTCAATCATAATAAATGATTAATGCCATTTTTCATAAATGTGATAATTAATACTAAATTTCGTCAATATTATTATAATAAAAATATATACGAAGGAAACATAATTTAGTTTTGGCATCACATATATCTCAATAAAATTTTTAACTTAAATATTATCTACAAATATTTTTCTCTTATTACAGAGAAAGAAATAAAGTACTGAGGAAAGACTGATATAAAGGAATAGAAACCAACTCATTGAATTGAAATTTGAACTAAAGCAAAAATAATTAGTAAGTGGTCTTCTACCATACCATAATCCAACTTACAAATCAGCTAAAATGTTTCTGGCAATAAATCAGAGTAAACTCATGTCAAAACAACGTAAAAAAGATAAAGAGAAGGCTGAAAATAAAGTATCTGAACTGATGATGGATACAGTTGCAGATTCCAGCACAAGTACAGCTAAACCAGACAATACTCTAAATATGACTCACTTGAATCAAGAAATTACACCAACAACAAAATGTGAAATATGCCAACATATTTTACAGAATGTCCGCAAACAACAACAACAACAACAACAGAAACAACAACAAGAGAAGCAGGAGCAGCAGCATATGCTCTCCTCCAGTCGAGTGCCATGTCATTGTGATTGCGATTGTGTAAATAAAAATATTTTCAATTATGATGAACGCACTCATAGTTCACAAACATCACATAACCCGCCACCAGTTTCACTTTTCTCAGTTTATATATGTCTGGGTACGCTGACGCTTGCCTTGGCCACCCTCTCCGTGTTGTTCTATTCACATGTTAACTCCGCTGCGTCTACAATACCAACGCCAACACAGCCACATTCAATAGATTCAAGCATTACGTTCCGTGAGCAATTTCGTCAAGAACTTCTTGCATCAGATTATATGCTGCGTTCCATGTTATCTGAAATGCTGCAACATAGCAATCGAGTTCAAATGCCAAATGCAGATCAATATGCCACTGTAGAATCGATAAGGAGTAAACGCTATGAAAGGTAAGTTTAAATAATTTCACTTATTTTAGTTGACGAGGAATTTTATGTATAATTTTGCTTATGTAGTTTTGCTATTCTACTGTTGGAATCTTATTTTTTCCTTAAAACATATTTTTATTATTTTTTTGATTTATTATTCATCACTAATAAAGTGTGGGCATTGTTTGGAAAATATATTTTCTTCAATATATTTTTTTATATATATAAATATGTAGCCTCATTATTTCAACTTTCGTGAGTGACTTTTCAGTCTGAGAAACAATGAATGGAATTCAAAGGTTGACAGAGGCAACAGTTTTCGATATAATCCTTTTGGGTAGGACAGGGTTTCAAATAAAAGTCTACATAGAAAAATGTTTCAAAACATTTTAGTTTAATTATTAATATGTAAGCCTTTTTTATAATAATGAAATGTAGTTTTTTAAGGATTAGAATAGTAGTTTATCGTTTTTGATGCGAATACATGCACAGAGTTTTATAGTAAATTTTTCGTAGAAATATATTTAATAATATTTAGAGTTAATAGTTATTAACTGCTTTTCTTGTATTATAAACAAAAGTAATTGCATTGAAATTTATTTAATTGGATTGCCATTGTAAATATACACTTAATTTTATTATTATTATCAATCTCAAGAGGTATTTTATTCACACCACTGGATGAAGTCTATATTGCTGATTTTATTAAAGCTGTTTCAATAAAATATTAAATGTAATTTAGCTAAAAAGAAATTCAGCACTTATATTTACTTTAAATAAAAATGTCCAAATAATCGATAAATTTAATTTTGTCAATGGATTTTTTCATCAATTTATACGACAACCTGCTACTTGCACTAACAAATTGAAAGTTTGTGACATGTCATTCGTTCATATGTAAATTCATTGCTTTTTAATTTTATTAAGTACATTCAATCCATTTTGTCTTCTTCCGGAATAATAAATGTAAATATACATAAATAGAAAATATGTAGAAAATATAGGCAGGCTCTTAGAAATGTTGTAGACAACAAAAGAATTTGTCTGTATAGAAATGTATATTAGTTTAAAAATATTTATATACTATAAAGAAGTTTGAAATGTTAGTGTAATTGAAACTAACATATACTGTATATATTGTTTGATTTTATAAATTTCAATCTTATTTTTTCAATTTGAAATTTACATTTATAATTGAGAATTTTGATTTTATTGAACTTGAATATTGTGATTTGTTCGTACAGCATATTTTTCAATAAAAATATTTACAGAATTTATTGTTTATAAATATATAATAGCTACAAGAAATTCAATTATTTGAAGTAGTAAGAAGAACAACTATTTTATGATGAGTAATCCTATACCATTCAATTTAATTTTCCTTGAGAAAGTCGTATAAAATTTTGGGGCAGAAAACAATATCAATTTTTTCATTAAAAACAATTCTTAAATAAAATAAATTTAGAGTTTGTGAGTAACTTTACAAAATTTTGTCCTTCAGCAAAAAGCTCAAATTAAATGTTTAAATAAAGATATAAAAAGAATAAGTTGCAAGTATTCTCAGTAATGTTAAAAGAGTAAAATTCCCTTTTTCGTTTATTTTCAGATTTTTGAAAAAAGTTTTTCTGTCTATTGATATGTCTGCCACGCACACTTTATGTTTGTCTATCAAAATGTCTATTTCACATTCTGATTTGTTTGAAGCCAATGCCAGCTCAACCCCACAATTTAGTATCGATTGTGCTTTTTAACCTTGAACTTGTAACGCTCATATATTTTGGCGAAATTCGAAAATGAAGGTCTTAGAAACTTCATTTCAATCTGGAATTATTAACAGGCATATAATTTGATATAGTTAACGTATAAAAGTTTTTAATGAGACCCTAATTAATAAATCATTGCAAGTGCATTAATCGGGGTTTAAAAACGTTTCAAAAGAAATTGTCAAATTTATTTATTATTATTCGAATTTTTAGTGTTGTTAGCAAATAAGTAAGTAATTAATAAAAATATTTGATTCTATTCAAATAGTTTATAAAAATTTTTAAATAATATCTGTGTTAAAAATTTGAGTTTATTACATTAAATCCTATTTCTTAATAATTTTATCTGTTTCAATTAAAATAACAAGAAGTTACTTTTATTTATTGAAAAAAATAATGAAATTATAAAATATTTCAAATTTATATGAAAAACTATTCAATAAATTTATGTATTCATTATGTATTCAAAATAATTATAATAAATTCAAAATTTCTATCAGGCGTACATCGTGACGTATGAGTTACACATTTATATTTTCATATACGCATTGCTTTGTTTCAACCTGAAAAATTCAGGTTTTTTTTTGTGTCAAGAAATTGCATTAAAGTTTATTTTTTTTTCTTTTTAGTTGTATTTGAAACATAACACAAAAGTCAATGTCCAGTACAACTGAAGAATAATAAATGTGAAGAGTTTAGTAAAAATCAGTTTTCTGTTTTTGATAGTCAACTTCAACATTACTTAGAGGTACAGTTTTTTTTTCGTAATCCATAAGTTGGCAGAAATAAAAAACAAATATTTCCATGTCGAAACATTTACAAGAAAATTGTTTTAATTATTTCAAATATTTATATAAATTTTATACAAAATTTTATATAAATTTATATAACAAACTATGAAAAAGTACATTTATAATGCAACAAATCTTTATATGCAAATGAAAAAAATTAAAAAAGCAATTTTAAAATTGCATTAAAAAAATATACTGTATATATAAACTTACATTTAGATTTCTCAATATTTTAAATATTTATTTCTCAAAAATAGAAATTATAATTAAATTGAGTAGTGCTTACTATTTAATAAAAAATATTTGTGTTTGATGTTAAATAAATGTCGAACGTATTTTTCCACATTTTCTTATTTTCTTCCAATTTTTTCTTAAAAATAAATTCTTATAAATATTTTTTTTTTTTATAGAAACATAAAATGATTTTAAAACATTTAATACTGCTTAATTCAGCACCAATAAGCGTTCAATTCGCTTTGCAAATATTTCTTTGATAGTTTCCGTTTAATTTTCTACTAAACATGTTGCGTAAATAAAATATCAGCTTTTTGTTTGATGGACAAATTGTATCTTCTTGTAAGTTCATTAAAGTTTTCTGTTAAAACTTTTTGATTTGATTTCCTGTCATCTGCTCCCATTGTGTGCAATTTCACACACTTATTCGATTTCTTTAGCTAACTGAGACCACATGTTGCAAATCACAGTCTAGTTTTTCCCACATAGGAGCCAAGTTGACGCTTCGGAGTATTGCTAACATTTTTCATTGTGCCATCCAGGGTTCAGGAAAAAATAATTAATTGCGTTAGCTGTTGAGAAACTTATTGTGTGCATTTAACTGCAAATAAGTAAAATGATAAATGGACATGAATTTATACGAATATAGATGCTTTTATCGGTCCATGAAAGAGCATAACTTTGTTGATGTGCGTGACGTTTAGAATTATTTTTATACTTGAGTCTTCTATAAAATGCATTTAATGCTATTATGATAGTATGAAAACAATTTATTTCCAGAGTGACGAAAGGAAAAGTAATGTATAGAAAATGTTGTTATATACAATAAGTAAAGTTTATTTTTAAGAAAACTTTTACACTTCGCAAACATTGTTGAACACATTAGTCAAAGATTAAATACTCATATTACAACTGAAGCTCAACTCTTAATTTAGTTGTTATTTGAAAACAATGAAAATTTAATTTTAATTGTAATTGTCATAATAAAGCAGTAAGTACATAATGAGTACGATTACAATCGCGTGTAAATATAATTAAAAGTTACAAACTATTATTTTGTAAATATTTCAATAGTTAGTGCAAACAATGAAAGAGTTTCATTTCATCTGATTTCAATTAAGAAAATTACTCAGTATTACTCTATATACACAATCACGTTGAACAGAGAATTTTCAATAGCAACTTTTCTCAAATAATTTTGAACATTAAACAAATATTAGGTATGCTGGTAAACAAATGACGTTCTTTGAAGATATTTATTAAACTATCAAGTAATGGTAGTTATTGATAACATTTAAAAGTGTTAGTATAGGTGGCTGTGGTGAATCCGATACTACACACAATTAAAATGTTTAAATAGCATATAAATTTATCTGTTACCTTTGTGTTTATTATTTGCTAACAATAATAATTGTTAGTATATATTGTTATGATAATAAGAATATGATAGGTCTTTTCTTTTGTAAGCATAAATAATGATTTGGTTGATTGCAAAGGGAAGTTAGCAGATATCCTTATCGGTTTTCTCCCTTGTATCACCACATGTCTTGCTAATAATCTCAAGAATAAGAATGACAAAAATCAAAAAACTTATCCTAATTATTATATATTCCCCTATATCAATATTGCCGACGTTCGAAGATTATTTGACTTCTTAGCGCGAAGTATTATTACAATTCTGTCCTGAAGTCTCTGACGAAAGGATTGTTAAATTTATCACTTTCAATTTATGTATTCTGCCAGATTTTGTCCTAACCGAAGAATACTCTGCAAAACTGTCAAAAAAAGCGCTTCTCTAAAAGTCGGTTTTTTCTGGAAGCCAAAGCTGAACAATCAAAGAGAAAATGTTTAATTATTTTCTGTGAGTATTAAACAAAATGTGCAGGTTTTCTACGTAGCTGTCTGTACACCAGTGATCAGATAGATAATCTAGATAGATAACTTAACTTTACAGTTGTGACGGAAACTTTTTATTATAGTATAAACTTTGCTTTTTATTATAGTATAAATTTTATTTAAAAAATTTTGGTATATGGTTTTAACTTATTCTTAACAATTATCAACTTTTTACTTTTCACTTTAGTAAAACATATTTTCAGCTATATTACAAATTACTATATTTTTCAAACTTTTTTACGAATAAATATAATACTTTGTTTTAATATTAATCCAGTTTTCCATAAAGTCTATTAAATCATTGTGTATGCTTTTTATTTCATATGTATTTTTTTTTTTATAATGCCACTTTGTGTACACTTTTGTCATTTAAAGTCACTTTATATTTATTTTTCATTTCATTTCATTTATATATAACTTCCTTCCCTTCTTTGCAGACCAACAACAGAAAGTTCATATGAAAACGACGTCGTTAACGTTAGAGAAATCGTAAAAAATGAACGAAAACGTGAAATAAACTATAGTGGAACGACGCAGACATCTAAACGAAGTCGCAGGGATATTTCTTCATCACCTTCATCTATGCATGGTAAGAATAAACTACACTAACAAAGTTAAAGTTGCATATATAAAATATCAAAAAAAAAATAAATGCTCTCAGTAAGCAATACAAAGTAACATAAACTTAGGAACAATAAGTTTATCTGAGAAAAACTAAAACAAAAACAACAACAAAAATGATGCAAAATACTTATCTGAAGCATGAAAGTGTAGATGCTGCTGCCATTTATTTTTATTTATTTTATCAGCTTTTCTTTCATTTTTCATAACTCAAGCCCGAAATGGAAATTGCAGGGCAAAAGAAAAATGTTGCATGTTTATGAACAACAATAATGTGCAGTCTGTATTTCTTCTCATATTATGGCACTGATAAGACCGAAGAAAAAACAATAAAAATGTTTCAACGAAAAGCACTGCTACTCGGTCGAATTGACATTGACAAATAGAAAATTTATGACACTTAGAGATTCAAGTGATGGTCGCTAAAGGGGTGCTGAAGTATGGCAGTCATTAATTATGAAAGTTAATGACAAATCACTGATAGCAATAAAGTAATTACCTGATCCTAATTGTGATTGATTTTGATTCAATAAAATGTAATATAAAAATTTATATTTAGATATATATTGTTTGTGTTTCTTCATAGAAAATTTATACCTTTGTACCCACACAAAAAATTAAAAAAAAAAACATTTATATAAAGTAAAACCACGGACGCTCGCATTATACAGCTGAGAGATCCGCGTTAATTGCAAATATACTCAGTATGTAACCGTTTCTTTATATTACAATATAATATAAACTAATTCACATTTTTTTCAATATGAAATTAAACTTTTTTTCGATTCTATTCAATTCAAAAAACTTGAAAATTAATAGAGAATAAAATGTATGTATTATAAAATTATATTCTCAGTAATGTTCCCAATGGCTAACAGATAGTCAAAACGTGAAATTTAAAAATATTAAACAAATAGAAGATACAATTCTTGTTGAGTTGTTAAGAACTCATGAACTTATATAAGAGTAAATATATGCGTAAAGAACTAAATGCAAAAATTACACTCCAACTGATATCTGATTTATTTCGATCAAACAGCGAAGAAAAAGGGGATGGTTGGCTCTACTCCATTGATAGTTGGCTGGTTGGTTGCAGTAGCACATTAGCAACTGTCCTTACGCCTCGCATAATAAGCAATTATTTTCTGTTTTATTTCTATATTCTTTGAAGAAACTTCTGTAAAACAAACAGATCCATCGAAGAAGATCACCTACACAATTGATTGTTTACAGTATCTGATCAGTAAAAATATTTTCACATAATTAGCAATTTTTCATTTCAATTAGTTATTGCTTGAAAGAATATCTTGTAGAAATATTGTATCCATATAGTTCACTTTAATAAAAAATGTAGGTCTGGTAGTAAATACCAGTTAATAAGTTCTCTTGACTTGGTCTCGATAATAATGCTGGAAGCTTAAATTTGCTATAAGCTATTAATTTCAGCAAAATTATCTATGTTTAAAGTTATCGACAAATAAAATATAATATAAAGTATATAACCCATTGAAAAAATATTTATTGTTTACTATATTATTTTAATAAAATGCACATAAAAAAATACTTTGTTTCTGTTGCACCAATTAAAAGTTTTTTACAAAAGGACTCTCTTGATTCGAGAAGTTTTTAACATTGTTGTTGCTAAAGTTGTTTAGAATACACAACGAACCGTCATTCATTTAGTATAAATATATATAAGATACTAAATGTATGAAGTGCTTATATTATAAAATTAAAAGTACTTCACTTAAATTCAATTTTTTAAATAAAATATTTTAAATTTAATTTATATTTATATTTTTTCTGTTACTTAGTAAAATTCAAATACTCAGATAATGTAATTTTTTTGTGTAATATTAATGTGTGTTGTGTACGTGTAGCAAATATGTGCTTTACAATTTTTCTAGATACTGAACATAAGTAATATCCTTGTTCATGTAAGCAACCATAATTGCGTTAAAAAATAGAAAACTATTTACAGTGCATTTGGCACTTTGAAATGCTTTTTCTGTGGAGTCTTGGTTTTGCATTCCACATTTTGTGTTGCTTGGATCCTGAAAATGTGCGACAAATCACTGTGAAAATCGCAAAAATCCTGTGTAAAGTGTTGAGTTGCATATTTTTTGCATTGCTCTAAGCTGCGGAAAATGTTTTTGAATTCCAAGATAATTTTTTATGAATCTGCAAAATATGCAAAGTGCGTTAGATTTCACTGCATTTCTTTGAAATGATAAGTAAGCAAAACAATTCATTTATACAATTCACCACAACATTGTGAAAATTATTGAAAATTTATATTGTTATTTTCTCGTTCTTAATCAATGAAATGTAATATTTTTATATAATTTGAATATCCTTATTTCGAAAATAAATTATTCACGGAATTATAGTCATGTGCATTTTGATTTTTTATAAAAAACGAAATACGATGTATTAAGTATCTTCTAGATCCTTATTCAGTCCATTTAGTTGATAAACAAAATTCAATGTTTAAATATATGTAAGCTTTGTTTTATATAAATATTTCTTAATAAATTTCAAAACATATATAAAATTCTTAATACTATTTGAAATTCAAAATATATACAAATTTATAAAAATGAAATTGTAATTTACTCGACAAGTATGTATGTATGTAAACTATTATTTCGAATATTCGTAATATTTTGAAACCCCTTGTCAGTTTCTATTCGAAATTGGTTCAATACTTATATATTTAGTAAAAATTTTGTTTACACAATGCTGTGGAAATCTTCTCCATTCATTCCTAAGAGTTGGTTTAGTGGGTACACGTCTCACACGGTGGCTTTCGATGCTTCTAACTATTGTCAAAAAAGTTAATTAAGATTTGTAGCAAAATATATATTTTTGATCAGGTCAAAAGGTAAAAGTCCATCTAGCTATACTTCAATACTTCATAAAATTAGAGTCTTATCAGGAACTACGTATCTGTATAACTGAATCAGATGCGTACAACAAAAAAAATATTTCATTTGGTACTGTGGTTCACAGATTCTTCAAAATATTTTTTTTTAACAATATGTAAAACTGTTCATGGGTGAAGAAGAAGAACGAATAGATTTTCACGACAATAATTTTTTGACACCTTGTTGCGCTACTCAACGGTAAAGAGCATTAATTAAGGTATATTATCTCTTAGAACGAACAAGGTTTTAGGAAAGCATATTTTCGACAGTTTGTATCAATTCTCAACATTAAAGAAGATCTGTTGCACTACATGAACTCTCAGAAGGAACTTATTCTTTGAAAATAATTTTTTTGACACCATTTTGCATTGCTTAACAGAATGATATAGTCTTATCCATCAAGGCTTTTACTAAGAAATCCGGTTTTAAAACGACAAATCGCACTAACAATGAGTTGTGTAATTATATCTGTTGATCAGCAACTGCAATCAACCAACTAACGCATATATATTTATTTAATGTTAACATGATTGTTATAATTATAATTTAAGAAACTTCTGATTTGCTATTATTGCTCCGATTAAATAATATTTAAATTTCGATAAAGCCAAACTAAATGATTGTCATTATTTTATTCCTATCTAACTTTGGCAGGTGCTTTTAAAAATATAATTTTTTATATAAAAGTCGATAACAGTTAATAAGTTGTCTATCCAATTCCTTAAAGTTTATATATTCTAAAAAATTTGTAATATATAAAATAGCATAAATAATCGAACCAAAAATAACTTAAAGTAATTTAGATATATATATATCTCAAATAACCAGAAGCAATTAGTTACATACTCGTATTCCTCTTTTGAAATATGTACAAAACTATTTTAATTGGAATAAACTCAATAGAATACACATCTTTTCCATATTTAGCATTGCTTTTTCCATATCCAATGGAAGTCTAAAAACAAGGAAAAGGTATTGTGTTTCCTTTGGCACAGCATTGGGTGTTTTCCTGGCATGGCATTGATGTTTACAGTATTGAAGTTAAACTCAATCTGAAAATGATGGGCTTATCCATAGCGAATATTTATCCGTAATACTTATTCTGGTATGTAAAATTTCGAAGTGAATGTTTCTGGAATTGTAAAAGCCTAAAGACAATGAAGGAATATTTTCGTATTGTTCGTTTTTATTTTCATGAGTAAACATTGTACTTTGCAAATACTTCAAGTAATCGAGATATTTGTGATGTTTATAGAGCAGTACAATTGCATTAAAATTATTCTATTTTAGAAAATACGAAATAAAGAAAATTCTTTTAAAAACGTTTTATAGTTTTTCTGAAACTCATAAGAATTTAAAATGATTCTACAGTGTCATTTGAGAACAATTGCTTTGTTTATCTCAAATACATCAGATAGTGTATATTCTTATACCCTACACACATTGGTATACATATCTGTATGCCAACCTTAAAGACATTATATATTACTTAATATTATAAGTGTTGTAAATCACAATTCAATTCGGTTAAAAAATACATATGAAATTATATGAATATCATAGAAAATGTTGGTTTCTGTGGTTTAGTGTGCCTAACCTGTGGTTTTAATTCATATGGAGTTAATTTCTTGTAAATTTATTTTAATTTATATACATAATCAGATATATATATTTATTATGTTTAGGCTAGTTGAGTCAGTGCACCTGAGCACTTTTACTCTCTATTAACTGCGAGGTTTCTTCATAACCCCTCTTTGCACTTTGACTAGATTATTGTTTATCACTTCTTCAGACTAAGCAATAATTGACTTCAGATCTGGTTATCTCCCCGAGGAGCCTGTAACCATTCTGAGATTCGATAACGCGGTATTAGTAAGTCTGTCAGTTTTCGCAAATAATTTCAGGGCTCTATCCTTTATGTACTTTTTGATGGGATCAATCTTTAGGTCCCTGAGGATGTCATTCGCCCTAATGTACCATGGAACTTTGAAAAGTCTTCTCAGAGCCTGGCTTTGTGCAATTTCTAGCTGGTGAATAGTAGTGTTTGAAGCTTTGCTGAACGCTACGCAACCATATCGAAGTGACGGACGAATTATTTGGTTATAGTATCAGTTTCCTGTTCTTAGCATTGAGATTTTCATTTCTGAATAGCAGTTGAAGGTGATGAAGAATTTTGACACAGCTAATTCTTTTCATTTGAACATGTTTAAGCCATGTGAATCGTTTGTCCAACGTGATGCCGAGATATTTAGCGATATCCTCCCAGTTTATCACCATATCACCCACTCTCACTCTCGACGGATTCTGTATCCACTTACGCGTTATAAACAGAGCCTTAGTTTTTTCATAATTGATTTTTATTTTCCATTTCTGAAAATACTCCAGAATGAGGTTTATATGCTCTTGAAGTGTGTTCGTTATGTTCAGAGCACATTTACTAAATATTTCGGCAGCATCTTTGCAAATGTTTTGAGTATTCAAAACGAAACCACCGCTCTTTTCAAAAGGTAGCTAATTATTGTAATTTTTATAAAATATTTCATTTAAGAAATGTTTTTATTTGTAAATAAAAAAAAAATAATATAATAAACATTATTAATAGTAATATGCAAATAAAACTCTTCTTACCTCAAAGTCAGAGAATACTTTGAATAAATTTGTGTCCTTGCATTTTTGCAACTAGACCTGAGTCTCACTAATTTACTTGCTTTTTTGCTAAAATGACTTTACATGATATATCAAAAAATATTACCAGCAACAGACATTGATTTCTAAAAAGCTCATCTTAATTAGATGCTCGTAGTCATTTTATCTACAAATAGTGTATTGCGAGAATGACTTTGTGAAACAACAGTAAAAATAAAGTTACTGGTTATGGATTTGTACATCGCTGTGAATATCTAGTCAACACAAACTAAAGTTTTGAGATAGCTATAGATTACAAGAGTTATTTATTGGGAAGTGAATTACTTTCAATTTCTTCAGAGTCATGTAACTGTTATCTTTTATGCAGAAGAAACAGTAGTCAACTCTAGCGATTTCTACTTATTCTTAGTATTATTTTTTGAAGTATATAATATAAGTAATTCATATTATAATGAAATATATTATATTTAATTAATTATAATAGATATTATAATTACGATCATTAATTCTTGCATATATATACATTACTATAAATTTTGTGACAGTAACCACACAGTATTAGTAAGACTTTCTTCTATTATATATTAAGTAAACTGAAATCTACAGAGTTCCATTTTAGATACCGAATCTCACTTTTATTAAACTTTATGGAATAAGTAAACATTAACTTATTAATTTAAAATAAAATTTAATTGATATTGATAATTTTATATATTACTTTTGATGTAATTTGTTTTACAATTCAAAATCGATTGTTTTTCATATTTATTTTCCACAAAATTTCTAATAATATTACTTTGACTAAAGAATAATAAAAAAGTTTCAATATAAATGAGAATTGATGATTTCTGTACTGAATACTTCAAGCAAATATTTTTCATAGTTTAAAAGTATATAGTATTGAATAAATAGAAAATATATATTTTCCAATTTTGAAAGTTTTGCAATTGCATACATTTGCATAATTTTTACAAATCCTTTCATGCTCCGGTCATGCCAACTTAAACATTAGCAACTTTTGCAATCCTTCCTCTCCTTTGCATCTTGAATAGGATATTAACTGTGATTACTTTTTCTTATTATATGAAATTGGATTCTGTGCGATATTGTAAGTGAATCATATGGTAACATTACTCAACCTGTTGCAAATTCAAAAGAAAATCGAAATCAGAAATTTAAATGCCTTATGTTAGCACAAAATCTCCAACAAGTTAATAGAGATTGTAGATTTTTATACTGACAGAAATAAGGCCTTGAAAGAAGTGTCTATATGTTTGTGCATGTAAGTGCAAAAGTTTGTGAGTCGGACTAAGTTTTTTTCCTTTAAATGCTAATGGACTTCTCAAGTATACTTGTAAGCCAACTTTAGTTGCTGTCCAAAATACTACATTCCTTTTATTTTGTTGCAATTTACAATAGGTGCTCGATTTAGCTGATAAGGAGAGCGCAATGTACACTTCTCCGTAGTAGTTACACATAGATTTGTACGTGTCCTTTGCTGGATAGTGCTGCCAGCATAAAATAAAATTTTAAAATGAATTTTCATTTTCCTTTTGTGAGTACGACTATTTTTCTACTTCCTTGAATTTTGTTTTTAAATTCTTTTGAAATTCTGTTTTTTCTATATTTTCTTATTTCTTTGAATTTAAAATTCATAACATTGCTGTGGAGTACGACGATATAATATATACTGCCAGTCATGAAGGAGTCTTATACCTTCTAATAATGCAGCTTCTTTGTTGTAATATTTATTGAATTTGATTTTCAAATATAATGCAATAAAAGCTTTCATATACTATGTATGTTGTATAAAAACTTATATGAGTACAATATTAGAGAGCATATTTTTTAGTACTTTAAATTAAAATATCAGAAAAGTTCACTATGCACAATTACTTGTCTCTGAAGTGCACAAATGTGCATTCTGATTTATTGCACATTCTTATGCTCTTGAGATTGAACAGTTTTAATTTCGAATTGCATTCCACACACTTTTATTTATATCTTTCTCAAGTTTATTGCATTTCAGGAATTTCGATTCAAATTTGAAAAAATTCGTTCTCTTTTAAATTTAAACTTCACTGTCCGTTTTCTCCTTATTGCAGCTGATCCCTATGTGGAGTTCTTCAATCCGAATTATCGCAAAGCACTTGAGGAACACGATGCTGAAATGCGTAAGCAAACTGGACTTAAAGGTGCTGCACCTGGTGGTGATGAATGGATTTATGTTAACTCTTTCTGCCGAATGCCCGTAAGTATTTTTCTTTAAAATGTACAAATTGAAATGTTGAAAGAGCATTTAAAGGATGTCAATATAACAGTAGGTACTTGTATGAAAAATGTAAAAGATATATGCGACAAGTTTTAAATATGCAATTCCCTAATTGAGTTGAAAAAAGAAATTTTGAATAAGAACAAACCTAAAGGAAGGACTAACTACTTTAGTTTATCCACTATTTCCGAACTGGCTGCTTTCTGTGGCCTAAAATCGACTAAAAAATTATAACAAAGTTGCATTGTAAAATTTTGGTGGTTTGCCAAGTACGAAAGTACAACTTCTAAAAGTGCAAGTAAATCTAATTAAAACAGGAGTAAATTTAGTTTAGCAGAATGACTAGGAACGTTGTAATGGGCTTATGTTGCATAAAATTAATTTTCAAGACTGCAGTTCAAGGGTTTTACAAAAATTAATATGTTTGAAACTCTAATAAAATTTTTAATAGTCTTAAGATGTTCTCTTAACAATCTTTAATATAAATTTTATGTCTTGAACTGTAGTTAATTTTATTACAAAATTTTTTGATCGGATTTAGCATAAAGAAACATGAAATAAATGTTTGTGAAAATGTAATTGCACTGTTCAATATAACACTACATTTATTTTTTTGTCATGGAAAATAAAATTAAATTTAATATATAATGCTTTTATTCATAAAGGTTATTTATGACTAAGAAACTTATTTCTAAACAGAGAAGTTCTGAAACAGTAACAAATTTCCAAAACAAAACATTTCTTAACGTTAAGTAATGACGTTTCTGCAAGTTGTTGGCTTATAAGTCTATTCCAATAAAAAAAAAACCATAAAAACTTAGAGGTGTTGTTTTCTGAGAAATAATAAAAATTGGAGTTTTTGAGTAACGAAGCACCGTGTTGTCATTGACACCCTCAGCTAACAAACAAAGGTGTCATTATTTTAATATTTCAATAGATTCAAACTTCTAAGTCTGACACTTGTACTCTATAAAAAATTGTATAAATATACCAACAAGTTATACATCATATATCGTTTTTTGTACACAGGAAAAGGTACTTAATAATTTCTGTAAAGGTACACAGGAATACTGCCCACCTAGTCCACAGGGAGCACCTGGTCCAGCTGGTCCCAAAGGACCAACTGGTCCACCTGGCTTGCCAGGTATACCTGGTCCTAAAGGTAATCGTGGTGATGTTGGTTTACCTGGACCTGCTGGTATCGATGGTGTACAAGGGCCAGCAGGTCAAAGAGGTCCCAAAGGTGATATAGGCATACCTGGTCGTGCAGGTTTAGATGGACGCGATGGTGTTCCTGGTGAACCAGGTTTAGATGGTGTTCCTGGCAGAGCTGGAGCTGATGGTATACCAGGTAAAGATGGTTCATCTGGACGTGATGGACGTGATGGTCAAAATGGTAAAGATGGAAAGGATGGCTTAATGGGACCAAAAGGCGCACAAGGACCGTCAGGCGAAAGGGGATTAAAAGGTGAAAATTAAATATACAAACAATTCTTTATCTTCATCTATTCATGTAGTTTAATTTATGTGAAACTATGAACTTCCTTTATATTAAAATATATATATTTGTAGGAGATATTTAAGTATTTTGTTTTCTGAGTTTACTTCAAAACATTTATTTTAAACAAATTTCGATTTTGTTTTAAGAGTTATATAATAGAAATTAGTATTTTTTATGGTAACAAAGTTTATTGAAAATTCTAACAAATTTCACCGCCCATAAGTTGACTTACTAATGAAATAACTAAATTTTTTTTGAAAATGTAACAGCAACAAAATCTATTGAAATTATGCAATTCCAATTAAAATAATTTTTTTCCTGCCCAGAACATTAAGTAGACCACAAAATAAATAACCTACAAGCATTTAAAAACTCAACGAATCCTTCTTCTCACAATAAAACTAACTAAATTGCTCACTGCCTGTTGCAGACGTACTGTAAATCTTTCCAAACCACAGCACCACAAAACTCCGCACTGTTTGCACTGTAGCCTGCGATAAAAGAATAAAGCGCTTAAATCGGTTCCCTTATTCCTTGTGCATTTGCAAATGGCGCATTGTTTGTAATTTTTCCGATTTAAAGTAAGATTATTGTTTCATTTTTCTCTCAGTGTACTATTATTTTGAATTTTCATTTGCATTTACGATTTTTGTTTGTATTTGCTTATCATGGTCCAGCATAACCAATAAAGCGACAGTAAAGAAAAACTCCAATCAAAAAAGTAAAAATATGAAACCCCTAACAAATAGAGTTCTATTCTCAACCAAGCCGGCTGGACCAACTTAAGTACTGAAATAGCCTTGCAAGTTCAAATTTTTCTCTGTGAATTATTGCTAAACAAAGCATAGCATTGGAGCAACTGAAATATTTTCATTAAATGCATAAACATTTTCCATTTGATTTATGTCGGATGCGTATTTTGGTAAGTTTTCTATTTATGTAGTTCTGAAATTGAATTCTTTGGTTTAGGATTTTACCTAGGTTCTTCAGCAAGCAAAACTTTAACTCATACTTCTTCAACAAATTTTCAATAAGTTTGGAAATGGAATTTACCCAAAGTGTGTATGAATTTGTTAATCGAATTCATGATAAAAAAAAGTAGTACACTCATTGCGCTGTAGTTCATTTAATGTACTTCATTTTCTATTCTCAAGTATGCTTAAATAACGTACAATACGCAATGAGCTTATATAAAATTCTTTTAAGATGTTGGTTAGAAAGTTTAACTACCTAAAAGTCTTATAAAATTTTCCAAAATAAATCGGCTTAATTTTATTTTACTTGTGGCAGTCATGCTTATTTAAGATTCTTTCCACTTGTGTACGAATAGCGTCACATCTGTTGCTTACGTACATCAATGAATAAATTCAATGAGTCCCGTTTACTTCCTTGCTCAGGGTGACGTGAACTCTCATTCCCAATTTGAATCTAACAGTTAACGATTTGAGTAGATTATTCTACATTTATTTCACGTACCAGTAGCAGCAATTCTGAGTTCGTAACCGCACGATTGATTGTTATTAGCTTTGAGCAAATGTCAACGTTTAATTAATTTCATTAGTACAAGTTCGTAATAAACGCATTTACTTATTATACTAGTGTAATTCATACAGAATGAATCGTTCAAATCGGATTAAATGAATTTGCAAAATTAAAGGACACTGCATAAAATAGTTATTGCAGTTAAACTATTTTGCACATCTGCTTACCTATTCAGTTGCTAATTAACATTTTGTTAAATAAGAGCAATAGTCCTAACATAGCAGAGCCTAATCTAGGATAACATAACATAATTAAACATAACATAACATAAACATTACAGAATATCACGAATTTGACAGAGCGAAATGTTAAAGGTCGTATAAAAGAGCTTACATAGTTATGCTACAATGGTAGACCAACTAAAATGATATGTAATGCTATTCATATCAATTTATTTATATTTAATTTAATTTTATTTTGTTTTATTTCATTTTGTTTTTTTTATTTTATTTTATTTTATTTTATTTTATTTTATTTCATTTATTTATTGATAATATTTATATAATTTATTTATTCTAAATTTATTAACCAGCTGTCAGTAGATATTCAGTGATTTAGATAAAAAATAAAAAAGCAACAGTTGAGAACAAAAAGTAAACAAACATTAGAAATTAAGGAAACATACTATATATTTTCTATAGAGTCGAGTCATGTATTAGTTGTACTGCAAATAAAATACGTTATAGCTATTATATAATAGAGATTTAATGAGAAAGACGTCGATTTGGCGATTTTCGTCTGACAAAATGTTGGATTAGAGAGTTTATATAAAATTTTGTATTATATTCAAAATATATTCAAAATATATTCAAAATTTTAACGAAAACATTCTACGAGTTTATGAAAGGTAAAAAGATTTTCAGTTAGGGCGAAAAAATATTCAGAGTTTTAGAGGAAACCTTCAGCGATAATATTTTTACTTAACAACGGGTTCATGAAAAGTACATAATTCTAGAACATGCTCATGACGTTACCTATAAAATTGTCCTAACAGTGTTACTGAAACTAAGAACTTTATTGACTTTAAAGTAGGTGATATAAAAATTAAAGGCTAAATAAATACTTTCTGTAAACATTCAAACTCCACTTTAATTTTTGAATACATCTCGTATACGTACATTATAATTATTATATTCTATATTATGTGTATATTTTATATATTTTTTTAATAAAAAATAGGAATCGCTGGACCACGAGGTCGACCGGGTAAACCAGGAACGAATGGCACCCCTGGAATACCAGGCATAAATGCATTCAAAAGACCGTATATCAATGGCAGTTATTCTGATGACCTACTTATACCGCCATCTATTGCAGGTAAATCTAATAATTTTCTTAATTAAATTTAATTTTCTATAAATATATAGAATACAAAAAAAATATGAAAAATTAAAAATATATATATTATATCCTTCGCGCTATCAGTTATTACGGAAAATATCACCATAAGGATTTATTTTTCTTATTTATAGCTATGAAATAAAAAAAACATGTAATCAATTAACTCAAAAACAGTTCATTTACATGCATATAAACATATATATATTATTAATCCTTTTAAGGCCCTGTAATTTGGTAATTATTATGCCCATGTACTGGAATGAATTCGAAAATTATGCAACATTTATATTCCATATAGTATTATAAAACAATACACTGATTTGCGTACACCATATACATAGGGCATGTAAAAATTTTATTTTCAAACCTTAAAGAGATTAAAAATAATCTCATATCAACTTTGTGATTGCATTCTGATCCTTTTAATTTAATTAAAACAATCTCCACAACTTCTTTTTCCACCATCAACTAAGGTTTTATACTGCGTGTACTTAAGAGTATATTTAATTGTGTGTGATCAAAATATCTGCGACATTTTTAATGTGAAATATGCTGAACTAAATAATTATTATTAAAAAAGGAAAAAATGCACAAATATGAAAGCATTCGCTTCGCCGCCATTTTTAATAAATCCCTTATCCTTTTCATAATTTCATACACAATTTCCTTTCATTATTTCAGACGCTAATGCACCGTTCATCGAGCGCACTGTAATCATAGAGGAAGGTAAGACGCTGAACTTAAGCTGTGCTGCATCTGGTAATCCTACACCGCATATTGAATGGCGTCGAGAAGACGGCCGCACAATTAATGTTAACGGCATTGAGAGTAAGTTGAAATAATTAAAATGTTGGAAAATAAAATTGTAAATGCAAACTGTTGGCGGGAAGAGGGAAGTGTTGTTATAATTTTTATAAAATTTAAAATGTTGAAATAATTCTTAAAATTTATATATTTTATGTAATTTAGTGTCATCCATTAGTGGGCCATATCTGAAGTTCTCCAACATAACCAGACACCAAATGGCTGCTTACTCATGCTATGCCGACAATGGTATTCCGCCAGTGGCAAATGCAACATACTTAATTGAAGTGCAATGTAAGTACTAGGATAAAGTGTGATACCCATAATCCTGACAATACAAAGTGCAATACATACGTTAATTCATAGATTTACACAATTATATATAAGAATATATCTTAAAAATGAAAGCATATGTGTTCCACTAGTTTTTCCTGTTATTGTCTAAAGTTTTTCTTTTAAATTTACAAAAAAGTAAAGGGAACCGTAGAAGTAAACTTTTTACAAAGTTTGCATTAAAAATAAATTAAGTTTGTTAACATAAATTCTCAAATAAGACTTGAAGCTAAAGGCAAATAGAAAAATTTGTTTAAAAATTATTATTTTAGTGTTAAATCGTAAATTTCTTCCACTTGTTTTTAGTCTTTCTTTTTAGGAAGCATTCCTGCTCTCCCTCATTCAGCATTAGTTTCATATAATATTACTTTTATAAATAAATTATGTGTTAAATTAAGTTAAAATTATATTATTTAAAAGTATATAGGTAGATGTAAAGTAATTCTATTGATGTTTATACCCAACTATGGTTCTATCATGTACGTAATCCATTAGTTGCACATATTCGTTTAGGGGTCACACCACTCTTAACTTCGATAAACTGCTCTACTTTCATCGACTTTATAGACTACTCTTGAAATGTAGTCATTCATACTATTCTTATTACGTACTTATTTGACCATAACGACCGTTTACATGATTTCGGCCTAATCCAGCGCAGTCTCTGCTTTTCGTAAGCCTCTACTCGGTGTTCTTGAAATGTAGTCATTTATACTACCTATTTTACCTACTTATTGAGCGGTTAATGAGCGGTTATATGGTTTTGGAATAATCCAGCGCAGTCTCTTCGAAAGTCTCCTTGGTATACGTGCGTTCTTCAGTCTCGTACATCAAACGTGTTTAATTTTCTACATTTTATCACCACTAGGGATGGATTCCGCTGAATTCAATATCAGTTCATTGCCCAACGAGTGTTAAGTAACCATATAGATATGCCTTAATGAAGCTGTGCCACAACTAAGTTTCAGTGAGATAGTGATTGCACTGACATTTACTAGTTTAAATGTGATTAGACCCGATGCCTTATTTACACACTACTAAGGTTGCTTATCTCCCACCTATTACTTACTATTTTTACAATTTTCTGTTGCAATCTAAGGTCATATCTAAAAAATAATGGAATAAATAGTATGCAGAATAAATTATGTTTTTCTTTACACCTCGCATTTAAGTAGATAACGCGTTTAGCAGAAAATAGAACTTAAAGCTGTTTTGTGTAGACGCATTTTACCCTACAAATTTGAATAATAATAACGGGTATACATTTTGAGCTCTCGAGATGTTCACCAAAGTACACCGGGTAAACTACCAGCACGAGTTTTTAGGTTTCATGCTCTCCCTTATGAAACTTCAAACTTTCATTAGTACAAGCTCACAGTTTTCTAAGATGATAGATTAACCCACAGTGCCATATCAGCGTTTCTGTAATAATTCTTAAATTATTTTAGCTTAGTTGCATACAATTTTTAAACCGAGTTAGATTTCAAGTCTCTATAAACGATATGTCAGGGATGTTTCAATATTATAGGATATATTGCCATAATATAGTGCGGTACAAAACTATAATTCAAGAGATTCTCATGCTACATCATATATTTTATTTCCCACATTGCAATTAAAATATAATGGTTCACATATCTGAAGACCTGCAGGAAAATGAAGTTAGGGTGCACCATTTATTCGTCTATGTTTCATGTTCTTTTGTCCGCTATAGAATAGAACACGCTATCTGGATTTTATTTGCTCTATTTATAGCAGGTAGTTGACGTCTAAGCTCTTAAAGTTTACAATGTATTTAAGTTAGATTTATTATTTACTTATTCTGGCTTGATTTTTAATTGAATGTAAGGTGAGTATAATTTAAATATACTTAATTTGCGACAAGAAGTTTAACTCGTAATTATACAGAAGTTTATAGAAATTTTGTTATTGTAATTCACTACTGTTCGAAATCTCTCTCTCTATAAAATAAAATAGTATCTACTAAATAAAATGGTCACAGCCATCATAAGTGACGTTGAAATCAAATTTAATAATAATTTGCTTTAAATTTGTATGAGAATATTTTCTATTTAATTTATTTTACTCATGTTTGGTTTTATTTTATTATCCAATTGATAAATTATTTAAACATAAAACCTTTTAAACATACAGAAGGGTTTAAATTTAAATTTTAACGTTCGTTGCAGTTTCTCCAATGATCTCGGTCTATAGGCAAATGATTTATGCTGAATATGGTCACAGTGCAACACTGGAATGTTTGGTAAGTAAAAAAAACCTTTTTCCAAAATCCATTGTTAACAAATAGTATTGGCAAAAAGTTTTAAATAAAAATAGTACACACATTGAAGTTGGTACAAACGAAAGCGGTCTCAGAATAAAAAAAAATTATTGGAAAAATCTTCATCACAGCTTTCTATAACCGCAATTCACGTACAGCTCCATAAAGCCACAGCACTACGTAAATAGCATATAAAAAAACACATAAACACGAACAGTGCCCGCAGTAATTGCTTTTTTACTATATCAGTTCAATCGGATTCAGACCAACCGCGGGGTCTCGTGGTGATAATACGGATTTACTCAGAGTTAACGCAGACAGTAAATGAAATTGTTTTTTTTCTGACCAAATAAAGACTTGATTCATTTCGCGTTTGAGTTTTTTTAACATTTCACGAGGATGAAAATTATAACATTTGCTTCGCTCTACAGAAATATTACAAAGGAGGTCGAACTGGTGAATAGAGGACTGACTTTTTTTTTAAGTACTCATATTATTGTTTCAGTATTTCTGTTAAAAAATACAAAAATTTAACAAAAATTTAACAAAAATTCATGGCAAATAAATTAAAAGCTACTCGTATCTGAAACTTTGTTGCTTTAAGCTGCTCTGGTTACAAAATATTTCAAATTAGTTCGTTTGTAATGCACACCTGCGTGTGTCCTTTTGTGGTTTTGCATGCCTGAATGTTTATTGCCAAATATGACCACTGGTGTGACCACAATAAAATACAAATTACTAGTGAAATATTCTTCCCACATAAATATTTTGTCATTATTTGCCATGTCCATCTGCAGTTGCATTTGCCAAACAGAATTTCACACAATTTGTTTAAATAAATGAAAACAATCCGTTTTGTCTCGAAACCCAATAATTTGATTTTAACTAAATTGTCTAAGTAATCATTGTGGGTACATGTGCATCTGTGAGTACTTATGAGTATCTGAGAGTGCTACAATAATTTACAAAATTGTAATATTTCCTTTTACAATACGGATATTTACAATTGCAACATTATTTATGATATTTTTTGTTCATTTTGGTATAGCGGTTGGTATAATTGTCATTTTATAAATAATATATATATATACATATATATGTAAGTATGATGTTTTTGTTTTGTAAACATATGCAAATTGTAAATGTGATTGTTTTGTGTTATGTGTTGTTTTTAAAGTAAACATGAGAAGCGGTTTTAGTACCGAATTGCATTTCTCTGATTACAACTTCTAATTAATATGTAATTACTATAACGTAATATGTTGTTTGGTTACGTTTTATTTGGTTTCGATAGAACTTTCAGTGCCACTAATGGTTATTAAATTGAAATAAAATTAAGAGTAAGCGAAATATTTATATTTGAGCAAAAATTTAATATTTTTCATGCAAACAGATATTCAAAATGGATGTTTATTATATTTTAATCAATTATTTACAATTTGTTTAATAAAATTTTTCCACAATGCATATAAGTTTGATTTTTAACAGAGAAGTCTGTACATATGTGCACCTAATAATATTTTTATATGTATATATTGTATCATGAAATCAAAATCGTACATGAATTGTAAGAGATATTGGTAAAATTTTGATAAATACACATTAAATACACATAAATATAAGTAAAGACAAATATATTTAAAAATATATGAGCTATAACATATGCATTTAAAACATAAACACATATTTTACTATGTCACAAAAACAAACCAAGTTTGAAAGATTTGGGTTACATATGATGAAAAGTGAAGCACATTTGACTATCTGACATGAAGACCTATTAATTTAAAAGTAAATAAAGCTACATAAACAGTGGAAAATCCAGAATTCAAGTAGATCCATAATTTATTTAAAAAATTGGAAGTGGTCCCTTTTTGATAAAACCAACCTCAAGACCAACCTCACGATGTTAGAGTTTATGCAGTGTTCGGTAGATTTGTAAAAGTATCAATCAGTAAAGGCTACTACACTTAGTGTTTGCTATAGCAAGGAATTGTAAAAAGGAGTATAGCACTCAATAAATTGAAATTAATAATAGTAACGCTAAACTACACACATATTTGTTGTTTATCAAAAAATCAAAAACCTTGAGCTTTGATGCATTCAATACATAGCCTTGACATTATGCTTTTAGATTATAATCTAGTGTAACTATTATAACTCTTTCATAAGAGTTATATATGCATAAAATTAATCTTAAAAGTCAATTGTGAATCAATTCAGAATTCTCCACAATGGATTAACATTTTTATTGCTGACGACTATGGATAAAAATTAACAATATTTGGATTCTAACAGATTATTCTAGAAAACAAAATAATATTTAATTTAATTTTTATTCAAATATAAAATTAATTATTTTTGCCGAAAGCTACACTTCTTACGACGAAATAGAAGCTAGAAGTTAGAAAATTGAATAGCAAAAAGAAGACAAAAACAAAAATTTTGTTAATTTACTGAAATTTGGCTGGACATACGAGTATATCCGAGTATTGGCAAATACTCATCATTAGTGGTTTTAGGAAATATTGGAATTTCTTTTAAACAATATATTTTTGATGATTTCTTCTTGTATGATGGCAATAAGAATAGTTTATTAACAAACTAGCTAATATCTTTTATATTTTACAATATGACTTTTTAATTTATTTTTAAACACATCCACCATTTGTTCAATTTTTTCTTTCTGCAAAAATCTGCAATTTACTATTAAATAAGTTCTAACCTTTTATTTATACAATACTAAGAAAATACAACTATTTTAAGATTATTCGTGTTTACTTAAAAGAATATTGTTGCTACTGAAGGATGCAAGCCGTAATGTACTTAAACTTACAGCCTCCAGATTTATTAAGCTTTAGTGTAAAATTTACTCTCTATTTACTATACGAGTACAATGTTTAGTCGTTGCCTTCAAGTACAAAATATTTGCTATAAAAGGCAATAAATAATGTTCGTAAATGGTTTTCTCAAATGCACTTATATGTAAAACTTTTACAAAATCTTGAAATGTCGGTTACTCTAAATTTATGTTACATTGCCAGGCCAATACAAATTAAATTTGAGTTTATTTAAGATAAACTTCAATGTCACAAAATTATTTTTAATCGAAACAATTGCTTTATGAGTATTTTATAAATATTTATTGCAATTTACTTCGTTAGTAACTGACAATTTTATATTAACATAAAATTTTTTTATTTTTTGACAACTATCCATGTCGAATGCAGTTCTTAAAGATATTGTTACCTTCTTCATGTTGTTTGCGATAGCTTATTGATTTACTTACAGCTGCATGTGGAACATAAGCATCCTGATACAGTGATTTAACAGGAATTGGTATTTCTTCAGTTTTAGTCGATTTACCATAACGTCTGATACGAATATCTGATTCATGGATACTAGTTTCACTACTTTTCGGTGTAACAACCAAATTCGATTGTGGAAAATGTGTGTAATTCTTAGTTTTGAACAAATCTGATTCAATAGGTTCAATGCCAAAGATGTTAACATTTTGCTCAACATTCTTCACACTATTAAAGTGTGCTTTAGCCTTCCATGCCATGTAGTTTCTTGCATTTCTTGTTGTATTTGCTAGTGGTTGTGAAAAAGTATCCTGATAAATACTTTTATGTGGACTACGACTATTTTGTTCATTAATACAAGGCAAAATAGCTCTGTCAAGGTTATCAGAATGGCGCTGTTCATACCAATTTCCGACCAAAACTTTCCTATTATAAGCATCGTTTGACTGGGACTTAGGTTTTAAGACACAACTTTGAGCTGCATTTGATAATCCAGAAAACATATCCATTTTAACGAAAAAATATGCCAAAGAGTATAATTTGTTAAAAAAATTGCACTTATTAGCAAAATTAAATTTATCAAATGTATAAAAAATAAAAATGCGTTAAATAAATAATAAAAAAAAATTAACAATTTTATTTATTTTATTTTTATGTTAATTACAAATCATATAAAATAGTATTAAAAAATGCAAAGCTTACTTATAATAAAAAAGGTATATATTATTTTTTTTTCTAATACAATATTTTCGGTTGAATTATTTCTATACTAATGAATATATATTCTTTATTTGTTTAAAAATAAATTATAAAATCAAACACTCATTGCAATAAAAAATTTTAATCAGATTATTATTATTATCAGCATCAATTATCAATATTACACATTACTTACATTACATTAATTACTTAGATATTAAAAAATATAGTTTTGTAATTATGATTTTAAAAAAATAATATTTTTTATTTGTAATCAGAAATAATAAAACATTATCGCTTATTAATATAAAATCTATATTTCGTTTTGGAATAGTAGAAGCTTTAATGATTATGGCATTTTTTTATCTTATCGCACAGAATATATTATAAAGATAATATCGCATGATGATCCATCAGATATTGTACCAACCACTTAGTAAGTTATAACCTGCGTTGTAAGCAAAGTTGCAGGTAACCAACGTGGGGTACAACCTACTCTGTGATTGGTAGCTTATCTGACCAACGTTGTACGCAACCAATGCAGGCTACAAACTACTATTGATAGATTATCTGTTTAACGTTGTAAGCAACCAGTGCAGGTTGCAATTTTTAGTGGGCACTTTTACTGATCCCTGATGAATTGTCTGACTGATATCGGAAACTTTACAAAGTTCTTAAAAAACTAAAAAAAAGCTTAAAGTGATGTTGACAGCTCTTGAATCAATAGACTCATAAGTGGTCCACGAAAGTCTATAACAGTTTCATTTTGTATCAAATTTTGTATTAAGTTACAGTTTGTATTCAATCTAATTTAAATTACTTATCTAATATAAATTATTTGATCTTAAACCCTAATTTAATTTTGTAGTTCCTTTTCTTATGCGTATTCAAATTAACTTTAATGCAGCTTTACTTATTTTACTTTATTAAAGTATTTAATTTTTACTCAATGTGCTTTAAATAATTTCTACCATCAATTCTATTTGTATATAATTCTACAAAACATTTGTTGACATCGTTTGAAATTAATTAAATTAAATTAAACAAATACCATTTAAGAAGCTTAAATGAAATAATTTAATTAAAAAGCAATTCCATTCTCCATTTAATTGCAGGTTTTAAAGTCCTGAGCAATCACGAAGTGCATTTTATGTAGAATGAAATAAAATACTTAGAAAAACGAGATAAACAACAAATGTTATTTAAATTTGATCCTTTATTATTCTCGGTAATACTCGTATAGTTAAAGATACCACAATAGACAAAATAAATACTGCACTGTTTGAAAGTAAAGTTATTTGTTAGGAAGTAAAGGACAAACTGGATGCTTTACATATGTTATACTGGAGTTACATTTGTAATACAGAGCAGTTCAAATATTTACTTGAACAATTAAATTTATATTTTTGTATAATTCAGTTACTTGCATAATTTAGAAACTCATTTTTGGCTTAAGATTTAGATTGACTCTAACTAATATTTACTTACATACATATGTGTACAACATATGAATAAAATTTAAATATTGTCAATTTAAAGAAGAGATGGTAAGGAAACACAGAAAGTCAAAATGAAAAAAGTATTTGAATGTCAGATTAAAAGAATTAAATATTGTTGATCATTGTGATTTAAATTGAATTAGGAGAGTAAATAAATCGTTTGGCAGTTTTGAACTCACTAAAAAAATATAAGGATGCACAGTACAAATTTTAATTGGTTTGAAGACTCAAATTTTTAAGTCAATATTATATTTCACCTTATATTCTATTGAGTTTTTAAATTTAAAAGTTTATAAATGGCTTGAGATATATTGCGCTTTACCATTTAAGAATTTTGTTGTAGATTTTTTTAGGAAACAAAACTAAAATGTTTCCATTGGAAAGACTAAATTAAAAACGAAGATACTAGTTTTATAGAGTTTCAGGATTCTTTATTGAAAGTATCGTACGTTCATTGCTAAGCGAAAAGCCCACATAGTTACTTTAGTTATATGGACGAATGTCTTCGATAGCAGAAGTAAAATTATATTTTAGATTTATTATTTAGTTTGCAAACAACAATTTAAAAAATAAAAACATGATTTGAAGAATACTGAAATAATATATAATAATTTAATTAACTATTCAATAATTGATTTAATAATTATTCGAATAAAAAAGAGTTCGAGAGCAGAGAAATCTTCAAATCCATAAAAATTTTTAGTTTTTAGTTATGTGAATGCTTAAGCTCACCACATAATCGATGGTCCGTGGTAATATCTATTGGTTTAATTGTCCATATGTAATTTTCGGACTGTATTAGGACAGACTTGAACCTTGAACTAGTTTGTTGACACACAAATCAAACATAATAAAACCTTGCAGAATGCATATTAATAGTGTTATGAAAATTACCGCTTTTACAGTCTTCGAAGCAGTTTTCTTCAAAATTTTTCCATGTCATTATAGCGTGATGGTTGGTTCCTCTGCAGTTTTAATGATTTTATGGCAATCTTTTCATTTTATTAAGCATTTTCCGTATTTTACTTGCAAGCACTGCAAATCGTTTATTAGACTTAAGTATTGATCCCATTATAAGTAAGGTCTGAAAGGTTTAAGTCGATCAGGACGCCGGTAATGGCTTGAAGCAAAACAGTGGAAAGTGAATTTAAAGATTTGATTTATCCGTGGAACGATGTCTTTACCTATATCTAGAATAGTATTCGATTTAAATTGATTGTATACTTCATCTAGGAGGACAGAATAGCGTACTATATATGCATATAGTATATATATATATGCATATAGTTTGTTGCTGTCGACATATACCGATTCTACAGTAATATATATCTAAAGTACTATGTGATTGGGTTTAGTGCTTAAGAATGTACTGGTAAAGGATTCCTGTTTATATTTTATATAAAAAATATCTTAAACTCAACAATTAGTAAATCCCTTATATGTATAGTACTATTATTTCGCGAATAACATTCACTGTGACAAATGGTCTCTTGTATTAACCCTAGCAATCTAAACCGATAACTTTAATTAAAGTGTGTAGCTTGAACGATATTGTTATTTTTGCGCATTTTATGTGAAACAACGAATTGGTCTCCAAATGAATAAACCTTCTGATGCTTAACAGAGCATTAACAGAGAATGTGTTCATCCAGAGAACAGGTGTAATTAATCCTTAATTTTGATGTGGCTAATTCTATCTTATAGCTTGATTTAAAAAAATTAAGATAATTTATTCTTTTAGTTTATTTTTGAATTTAAGCAATATAGCAGATGTTATATATTAAACAAACACACCACAAATTTTTTAATTAAATTTTTTGAAATTAATTTAAAGCATGACCGCTAAAGAATATTTTATAAATTGACAACGATGTGTGGATATAAAAAGTAGAGAAAAAAATAAAAACTGCAATTCAACTTAAAACTGAAAATAAAGAAAAAAAATTCAACTCAGCTCTTCTCGTACTTGAGGAAATATGGTCAAGGCTACTGCAGACACTTTGACAACTTCATTTTGTAACAATATGAACATTTACAGAAGACCACAACAAAAACAGATGATGCACCAAAAATGCATGCAATTGATAAATTGCTTTTTAGAAATTGCTTTAGAGATGAAAAAAGCATCTAAATAAAATAGAAATTTCACTCTACAAGAATATTACAAAAAAAAAAGTATCACAAATTGTGGCAACACATAAGAATCACATATTTGGCACAATAACAGTTTTAGACATAATTTATCTGCAAAATAGATAATTTAATATAATACATTTTTTTGTAATTTAATACATTTATTTATATTTTATTCCATATGAATTTTTCAATTAAATAAAAAATTTTTTTAATAAAATTACAATTTAAGGTGGAAGCCTTCCCGGAAGCCATACGGTACTGGGAACGTGCATATGATGGCAAAATTTTAGACCCCGGCGATAAATATCGTATGGAATTATATCCTGATGGGTAAATGTTAAATTAAAAAATATGCTAAAATCATTTCATTCCATTTAAAATAATTTATAGCTTCAAGACTCAAATGCGTTTAACCATTAGTAACCTACGCAAGGATGACTTTGGCTTTTATCATTGTGTGGCTCGGAACGAACTTAATGCAACAATGGTCAATTTTGAAATTGCACGTAAGTGTATATGAATGTTTTCATCTCATTATACATTCCCTGTATGCGATTTGGGAAAATGTGTGCTAATTAGTTTATTGTATTCGTTACTTGCAGCACAAGATCCCAACAGTGAGACACCGTATGTGGGCAAAGAAATTAAAGTTTATGGCCAAAGACCACCCGAAAGCAATTGTCCAGTATGTGAAGAATGCCCCGATCCAAGGTATGTGCTATATCTTAAGAGTTGGTTGTGTTTTTGGTTGTGTTCAACTATTTCAAAATACTAAGAAAAGTAGTTTAAAGGAAATATTAGCCAAGATATTCTAAACCAAAGCTATTGTAATTTTTAATTTAACTTAAATTAATTAGTTTACTCTGATAATATCAAAAACTATTATATTAAGCTTAATTCTAAGTAATTAGAAGCAAATGTGGTATTATAAAAAAGTTTTGAAAGTTTTTAATGGTTTTCTCCATTTCTCTCGCTAGACTTCAATAACCTTGAAAAAAACCAAATATATCAAATGCTTGAACAACTATTAACAAATGGAACATATTAAATATATATAAGTTAGAAAATCAGGTCACACAATTTTCATATTGCTGTCTTATGCTATTTCAATAATGTTTAGTTACGCTGTTAAATTCTAAAAGTTACTATAACAAGCTATAACTTGGTCATCAAAGTAATGACTATTGGTAGTAAAAGTCAAATTGTACCCTTGTCAAATTTATAGGTACACATTTTATTACGTTGAAAGATTGGGTTCCCTACTGGAGTATTGTAATGCTTAACCACCTAACCAACGTTTCTTTATTCTAATTTCCAAATTTATTTTGGTTTTATGAAAGCCAGATATATATTTAAATTTATTTTTTATCAATCGAAGTATGTCAGCAAAACAAATAATTAAGGCATATTCTGTTTTTACTCACAAAGATACTGGAACCATTACTGGAACAAAAGAGTTCTGACTCTGTAGATATAATAGATATAAGTAATTGTAGATTTCAATTTTTAATATAAATTTTAAACGTAGCAAGGTTTTAATCAAAATATAAAAAAATTTCCTATTGCTACTCCAAGATCTCCAATATCAATTAAACAATATATTCTTCATTTCCTTACTTCATTTAGTTTTCGTTAATTATGATTCACTTTTAAATCAATATGTTATTTATACTAAAATGTAATTTAAAAGCTCTCAAATGATCATAATTTAAATTTTTTATTAATAAAGCCTTAAAAAGAAACCTAATTTCTGTATATTATGAAGCATTATTAAAACATTATTCAATAAATTCTCATAAAATGAAGATATTTTTCAGTTATTTTCGCCATTAAATCGTCCGCTTATTTAAAATTGTGCTTTCTTTGCATACTTTATTACAGTCCTTATAGTAAGATTTACATGTACTTGAAACTGTATCATCCGACACAGAACTGAATATAGAATTTTTATTTTCCATTTTGCGCCTTTCTTCTCCCATTTAGGTCATTTATTTGTGCAAACCAAAGAGGATAATTTAAATTTATTATTGTGCTCACCCACTTAAGTCCTCATTCATAGCTCCATACAATTGTACGTGTTTGTGGTATAAGATGCTGCATCGTGCAACCAACTGACCTATCGACCAACCAATTCACCAGACCCTCGGCACAATTATAATGCTAACTTGATGCTGCAGCACGTTAGACTGTGCAGTTACAAATACTTTTTTAAAAAAATCTTCTTTTAAATATTTCCTGCATAAATCTGTTATCCTTTGGCTTTGCAATACAGTTTTTAAACGCTGCTCATCTTTACTATTGCAGTTGCTGCTGCATTTTTGCGTCGTTGAATAATTTATTCATTACAACCGCTTATTTCGACAATAGTGCCATAAGCTCGAATATTTTTATTGCACCCACATATATAATTATAAATAAAATTCTTTTTTTCAGTTTATATCAGTGCAAGGACTCGATTAATTCCAACTTTGAAGTTCAACCGACTGGAAATAATAGTTATCCTGGACTACCAAAACGTCAAAAAAGTAAGTGCATAAATAACGTTGAATGCTTTTTTATCTCTTTTTAAATTTATCATATAAATCTAAGGGAAAAACGAATAATTTCAGAAACTCTAATTGAATTCAATTTAAGTTGAATTTTTTTTCTAAAAAGCTCATCTTTGCTTGAAAGCCATGCGCTATCTGTGAGATAATTAATTTTGCAAAAATTTATGTGGCTATTTCCGCTTCAATTGAATTTATTCCATTTTAACTCATTGCAAATGCTACCATTTTTCATATTTTTTCTGTATATTTTTTTTTATATATAATTTAAATTAATTTCATTTAATGTTGCATCTCAATTGCAGGCTGCCTTTTGTATGCCGTTGGCAAGCCTGTTTTCCATAAATCAGTGAACGAAACGTATGGCTGTTGGTTGAGGGATCCTGCTGCCAAAGAAACTGACCGTGAAAAAACCTTTGTTACCAATGAAAACGACGCCTACAATCTGTTTGAATTCACAACGAAAATACAGTATCGTTTAAATAACGTACCACGAAAAAAGTATGGAATCAGCGAAGGTTTTTATGTAAGTAATTGAGCACTAAAGGCTTTGGCATGGGAAGAATGTATCAGTGATTGATTAATGGTATTGAGTTTATGATATTTAAAGCGTAAGCCTTTTATGCTTCAAAAGTGATAAAAAAAAGTTTATTACGGTTTATCTTATTGAAATTGTTGTTATTGAATTGTTACGAATATTTCGTGTCAAATTACAACAAATTTAAAACATAAGATTAGTGGGCAAAAATATTTTAAAAGAATAAAAAACGTTTTATATGAAAGCTTATAATCAGGACGTTAAACCGGTTTTTCATAGAAACAGATTTCAGATCTGATCTGGTTCAATTACAGCGAAAGAGAGGTACTAGATAGGTTTTCCAACAATGGAACAGATAAATAGTTTCACTTTATGTTACATAGGCAACGTCTCATAAAGGTGGAAGTTAACAGAAGAATGTTTATTTAAAAAATCAGTGATTAATCTTAAGTGATTAATTTGAATTAGTTGATTGAGTTGCAGTAATTATTCGATATTTGCTTAAACGGTAACGGCTTATAGTGTTTGTATAAAAAGGAAACATGTCAGCTATTTCATTACCATCGATACCCTTAAGTGCATATATTTAGATGACCGTGACTTTATAAATGGTAGCTAACCTAGATATGAGGTTTTTGCAGTTTCACTTTAGGTTGACTGTGGTGGTTCAGAATGCAAAAGATTTTGTGATTGTCACAGCTTTGTACCACAGCTTTCAATGGTAAGCACTTCTGACTGAAATACTGTGGGAAAATGTTCGATTGCTAAACAATGTTGAATTGTTTTTGATCCGCTTTTGAATTTAGAGCAATTAGTCGACAAAACATAAGCATTTGAGTATTATCTAAAATTGTCTTCTTCAAATTAATTTTTTTATGAAATTACCTGCACATGTACCCTAAAATCAGACTTATCTCCAACGTATGTGATATTTTAATAGATTTTCTGTAAGTTAAACCTACATTTAAGATATCATATGTGCAAGTCGGAAATCATATTATATTTTTTACACTATACAATATGGTATACTATATAATATATTTATAATGTATTTATAAACATATTTTTTTACTTCGCTCGTAATAACTACTACGCCAGCCTCTAAACTTTTCTAATTGACTTTTAGACACTTATTTGCTTTATATGTAGCCACAATAGAATAGCTCTACACTGTACTAAAGGAGTTTATGGTACTTAGATGCTTTGTTTTTGATCACCATGGGTTTACTTCATAAGTGACAATAAGCTTAATCATAGTTTAATATGACCAGAAATTTAGTTATCAGCTTATTTCGCATTTTGTTACTCAAAGACGTCGGTTATTATTTGTTGTCTTGTATGTTTTCCTCTTGAGATGTTCATTTCATACCAATTCCCCAATCAAAGATAATTTCAAGATATATAGCTTTGAAGAGCGTAGTGTAGTGAGTCAATGAAGTGTAATGTTTGCAAATAGAATTGAATTTCGTTCAAAAATGGTATCAGGATACTTTATATATTAAGCGGTATATTTTTATTGAGTTGCTTTGCTTTAAATATAATATCTATAATGTGACTTTTGATAAATTTCATTATTATTTAAAAAAATTTGTTAAACACAAGCATCCATATTAATTAATTTTTCGTTTTTAAATAAATTTATTTTATATATAGTATTTTGTTTAGATTTTGTCTTTGTATGTGTATCAAAATTGCAATACAATTATTTCCTTTTATTATTTTTTAAATTTTTTCATTTTGTGTGCATGTAACGGATACTTGGTATATTCTTGACACTTACCCTCGCATGGTGTGTATTTACTTTATGGTACAAAACTCGGAAGTGGTCATAATTTTCAGACATTTTGTGACATTTTGTTGCAGTTTGTTGACCGCATCTGTGTGCCATTTAACAGTGGCCACAAGTGACAACATTCACACCAGAATGAAATGAACAACAGATATACACACGCCCATTAACTTAAGTAATGCCCTGCCTTTACATAGTTTTCAGAAGAGGCTGTTAAAAGTTTTCATGAGAAGAAAAATAATGTGTGGAAAAGGACATAACTCGGATGCAGAAAATTATTTTTAAATTTATTTTCACATTTTAGCTGCGTTTGTGTTCTTTTATTGAATTGCATGTTCTTTTTATTTATATATCTTTTTTTATTATTTTTGCAGGGAAACGCACATATAGTATACAATGGGTCTTTCTACTATAATCAAAGAAATACAAACTTAGTTGTTAAATTGGATTTAGGAACCATGGAAAAGATATGTGAGTACACAAATTTTATTTTTTAGTAAAAAAGTGAATTACGAAATAAAATTATATTTAGTTAGTGTAAAACTTATAACTTTTTAATATGTTTATGTCATTTTTGTATTCGTACACTCAGAAAAATATGCTCTAGCCATATGCTAGTTAAATTAACCTGATCATTTTGTTAGAGAAATTTTAGCTCATGTGGTAAAACATATATGAAAACGAACAGGTCGTATGGTTAAACCAACATATTGCGTCGAGAAAGAATATTTTGACCTTAAAATTAGTTAAAATTTGGTTAAATCAACTAAACTATTTTCTGAGTGTACAGTTGCATTAACAAAATTTGATGAGTTCCTTGAGTTCTGTGATGAATGGATTAAAAGAAATTATACTTTTTATATTAATGATATGTTATGACTGGTTTGTATTTAGTAGACAATAAAATTAAGAAATTTAGTTCATTAATTATACTTATGAATACAGTATTGGTTTATTTATAAATTAAATTTTGTATTAGACATAGGCTTAAAGCCACTAAACGAATGAAGATTTTTTACTTACAATGTAAACTTTATATAAAAATTTAGAATGATATTATTATTAAGAATTAGTTTTTGTTTTGAAAAACTCATTCATTTATGCAAAATTAAAAAAAAAACTATTGTTTATAACAAATTTTTAGATTCGAAGTATTATTTCTAAAATATATAAACTAATCACAATGTAAATAATAATGTCACCATCTAATTGCTGATGACTTAGTAAATAATTATTTATTTACTTGTTACAAATTTCACTATTTTCTGCATCAAATTTTCTGGAATATTCTTAATGAGACCTTCTATTACAAACAAATTGCATATTAATTATATACTAGTAACTTGCTTGTGATATTCTTGCTGTCCTTGCTACATCCTGCTCAGCATGCAATTATTTACCGTCAACATATAATTCGCAGCCACATCTTTTCACATAAAAGGTTACCACAATGGCGTTGAAAATGAAGACATATCACCGCATTACATTTCGTCACTCGTTTAATTGTGCTAATGCCTTGCCTTCCCCAGCTAAATTTCACCAACTTTTTTGAGGTTATGATGTGCTCTTCATTTCACAATTTTACTACTTTTTTCCTTGTTTTTGTAGCATTTGCTGTGCAAACTTTAGTAAATTTATTTGCAACTAAAGATAAATATACACACATATATATTTAGACGTCACTTCGAGCAGATACGTATATTCCCACGCTCAACCAGAATTGTAATAGATTGTTTCACATTTTTACATAAATATATGTTATCGTATTTATGTTTATGTATATATATAAGAATATGAGTATAAATGTGTCGCAATTTGTTTGCATTTTAACGTCAACAAAATGCAAGTTTGTTGTTAATTTTTGTTAAGTTTGTTATTATTTTTGTTAGTACTTGCACTGCTCATTTTGCTTAAAATTCGGTTTTAGTCTTTCCCTCGGAGCAACACTTTTACAACATCTCATAAACATTTCATAAAATGTTTAATGACACAAACAACTTGCATACTAAAATGTCATTGCAAAAATATTTGCTTTTACTACTAAAAACATAACAGGCAACCAACGAAAGAACGAAATAATTGCTCTTTAAGTGCAAACTTCATATAAAAGTTTAATGAATTTACATACATGACGTATATGTACCCATAGGTACTCATGTACACAAGGTAATGTATGCAGTTCAAATCTAAGGTACGTACTTCACAAGCTGATGTACATACATGCTTTTTTGTGAAATTATTGTACTTCATTAGTAAGTTTCCGAAACATTGGGTCTAATAATTAGTTTGGTATTTGGTGAAACGGTTGATTTTTATTTTTTTATAAAAATTAATATAATAGCACTTTCTTGCTTTAATTCAGCACTTTTACAATTATACTAATAAGGGACCACAGTGATGAGGTTTTCTCTGCTTCGTCATGTTATTTAAAACAGTGCTGTTTAAGCTGTTTTCAATGCCATAATTACAAACCAATACACTCAGAAAAATAATTTAATTGTTTTAATCATATTTTAACTAAATCTCAGGTCAAAATATTCGTACTCTACGTATCATGTTACTCTATACATACCATACTATGTTGGTTTTCAAATCTTCTTTACCACATAAGTTAAAATTTCTTTAACAAAATCATCAGGTTACTTTAGTATGTAATCAAGTCAACTAGTATATAGTTAAAACATAATTACAAACATAATTACCTTCTAAATTAAATGTAAGAACGAACAAAACAGGACTAAAGGTGAAAATTGATAATTGTGATGTGACTTTTTGTATGACCGAATAAAGCGTAAAATTGTGGAAGCTATTTTTTATATGACTTTATATGACTGTAGCCCTTACTAAGCTAGATTTGAAGTTTCTTATATATAAAATTTCAACAGATCACCAAATTACCAAGCATGTCTAAATACCCTTAACATTGTTTTAAAAGCTAAACAATGTAAAATCTAAGTACACATCTGTGAACTATAATTCAAAATTTATAACTTAAAAATTAAGTAGTCCATGCAAATATTGCTTCAATTATGTATACATCAATAAACAATTATGCATTATTAACATTGAAGTAAATAATAATAATGTCATGGATTTTAAGTGTAATTAATATAAAATTAATAATAGAATATTTACGCACCAAATCATAAATATATATATAAACCCTTTATTTGAATTCTAAACATATTTAATAACTCATTTTAAGTATTCATTATATTTATAATATGTAACTTTTATTAATACTAACCTAATTATAGTACCACACAATTATTCCAAATTAGCTTTTCAGTGTAATTTTACTGAAGCTAATATAGGAAAAAATTAATTTCATAATAATATCTATTTATTCTTCAATTTATATACAATTGTTTAACAGACGTTAATAAAATTTGCATCAATTTATATCTGAAATGCCACAATTCTACCACACAAATATACTAACTTAAATGCAAAGTAAAATAACTGCTCTATAAATGTTGGTATCTGTAATGGCTACACTAAATTTGTATCTCACAATGCAAACAGTTTAAATTTAATATAAACAAACTAATAGTATGTACAGAATTGAGATTTAAAATTTATTGTTTACACTTACTACAATATTAAGAAGTTATATACAAAATCGTATTTATTGAAATTCTATATAAAAGTAAATTCTAAACATTAAGCAGAAATGTTATAAATTAATGTTTTCCTCTACTCCCAATACGGATATATACGAGTACAAATCTTTATAATGGCATTTTTTGTACTTACAGCAACTAGTCTGCCTTATGCTGGCGTTGAACGTAGGAACAAATTGTACTCTACGGACTATAACTACATGGATTTTAATGTAGACGAGGTTGGCCTGTGGGTGATTTACAGCACTTATGATTCAAACAATACACTTGTGGCAAAGGTGAGTACTTAACTACATGTACCTACATACACTGAAATACAAAATACAAATCCAAGTTATATTGCTTGATGTACTGATGCAACGTACATGTACAACTAACATAAATATAGATTTTTTCAAATAAGATACTGTAAAAGCCTTAGATAATACTTAAAAAAATAGTATTTAAAAGAAGCAAATATAAAAATTTTTTTTTTATTTTCTTGGTTTATGTTGAGGTTAAGTTTTTTCTCAGAGTTTTTAGATTGTTAAGTTCAAACTGTTGCCTTGAATATAAGCAATTTACACATAAAATGAAATTTATTACTCCGTATTTGTTTTTGAACTTTAATTTAAATGGATTTTATGAACTGCATTAAAAGTACAAATAAATTATATACATATATTTCATTATGTAGTAAAATATATTATGTGCTAGTAAGTACATATATATAAACAAATATATACAGAACGTTTCGCTAAAACCGAACCTCGAAGTGTCGGAAAAAATATTGTTTTTCAAGTGAAATTTATTTTAAGTGAAACTCTATATGTACTAAGCAATTAGTTATTAATTTAAAAATTATTGCGTTTATATAAATACATTATATGAAAAACCGTACGGTTATGTATAGTTTTAAACTTCTTGTACTTTTAATGTCATAAATAAATTTATCTTTGCTTTAAATCAAGGTTTTATCTACCAATAAACTTTCAGTGATACGATTATATATCTAAATACTTCTACTCTTGAAGATCTATATAGTTGCATTATATTGAATGCAAATATACATACTGTATAATATATAATATATATAGTACATGTAATACAATATATATACTTTATTAATATATAATATTTCTTTCTTTATATTTCTTAACAATTTAAAAATGAATCCTTTCTATATATATCAAATTTAGATTAAAGTTCAATACAATCTAGTTTCAATCCTGCTAAAATTTCTTCTAACTGCAACTGCCTTCATTTTAATATCCTTGCCAATTCATACTTAATTATATTGAACCATAACATTGCTATATTTTTTATTCTTAATTTATTTTCATAGTTGGATGCTGAAAACTTAAGGGTGCAGTATAATTTCAACATTACATTGGATCATCGAAAATTTGGTGAAATGTTTATTGTATGTGGTCATCTTTATGCCATTGATTCCTGTTCTGATAAAAACTCACAAATACGTTATGTTGTGGATCTGTATAATGGAAAATTGCTTAATGTGGATTTACCATTCTCTAATCCTTTCCGTAAAACAACAACTGTGGGCTATAATCCACTAACTGTGGTAAGTATTATTATTGCAATTGTTTGTATCTGAATTCCAGAGATTTATAACAAACTTTGAATATTTTAAGTTGTATGTGTATAGGTACATATATTTTAATTGAAATCATAAGAGAATATAGATGAAAAACTGTGGTACAGCAAATTATATACAAATTTTTGAACCTTAGTTCAAAATATTAATTTTACGTACAAATTTGGAAACTTGCCCCAACTGCATGTGATTGACAGTGAAAGTCTAAAATTGAAATTTCCTTCCAAATTTGCTGCTTATGTCATTTATTGCTATTAAGCGCATTATTGCCATGCAGATAACTTCATTGGTAATTGTGACGTTGATGATAATTTTATTACTCACTAAAGCAGGTCAGCCTCTATTGATATTGATAGTGATGATGATGGCTAGTATCTCATGGCTAGGACAATGGAAATTTCATTTTTAATTTTGTTGACGAGTTTCAAAATTGACTTTGCCATAACAAGAAATTTTGGTGCATGTTCCATATTCATTCTTGTTATGTTAGTTAGTGAGTTATTACAGCTTGAAAATGATTTCTATTGAAATAAAGTATGTAGTGTTTAGCTGTATTAAATTTGTTTGATGTTTGGTTAAAAGCTGCAGTAATATAGAAAACTTCACTGATGTTTAAAATGAAAATATCTACAATTTCAGGTTTTGTTTTTGAATGTGGTTAGACTATGGGTTAATTATTTGGATCGTTCGATTAAACTTTGTACCTTTAAAATTTGAAGGTACATTATAATATCTAATATAATATCTAATAATAATAGTTAAAGATTTACACCACTACCACTTATAAAGACTTACACCTTTAAAGTATTAATTTTAGAAATATTTTTATAAGACAAAGTTAAATTATTTCATATTATATTCTAATCAATAAATAAGTAAGCTGATTTGCTTGAAGTTATATCTACGATTTATCTGAAACTATATTACATCAAAAACGTTTATAATGAGACCACTAAGAAGATTAATTTATTCGTACTTGAAACCTATTATCTTTCCATTCCACAATAGATGTGATTTCAACTGACATTTAGAAAAATTTTTCAGGTTTAGTTTTTTTCAAATTTTTTTTTACTTATAAATAATTTTTCTTTCTCTTATGTATTCTCGTTTCTGCTTAATTTTCGGAATCTGAATTCGTTTTTGCTTGAATTCTGATCCTAATAAGAATCCATCACAATCAATAGCAGTTTTTTTTATATTTTTTATGTTGATTTGTTCTAGCTGTCTTTGAATATATGCAAAACTGTTGACTGGAGCAGAATAAATGCCAGGCATCCTGAAATTTAATAAAATTTCTTGGACGAAGTCCAATGTAATAACATTGACGTTACCATCAACTATCAGCAACATAATCTTCATCATTATTATTATCAGTTCAAGCAAAACTTTCAATAACACCACAAAAACAGGAAAAAAAACTTTTCATTTTTGTCATTTTTATCAATTTTTATGACATCATGTAATGTGGTTAACTTTTTGAAGTACCCAAATTGTGGTAAGAAGAGTCGTTTGTTAGCTTAATTTTGGCTTATAGCTTATACTTGTCATTGCAACAGTCTTTATTATTTAGTTAAAGCAAAAAATTAATTAATTTCCCTTTCATGCGGTTTAGTTTTACATACAATGTAAAGATTTTATTAAAAATATTCAAGAAGCTGAAAAAACTCAATAGGATAAATGATTTAGTTAGTTGATACTCGTTAAAATATAATTAATTTATTAATATTAAATTTTCACAAATATCAAAACTTGAAATAGGATTCATAATACAACATTAAAGACTGCACTATTTAGCGCAATAAATTTTATAAAAGTTATTGATGAAATGGTTGAACTCATAAGTTTTGCTTAATAGAATCAAACTTGATTTAGCTCCAGCTCCGATTTCTTGGAGTTAAACTTTCTGTAAACTGAAAATATTTTAAATGGTAATTTTTAATGTTGAAAATGACGCTTTTTTCGACGAAAAGGAACTGGAACTATCTCTTAGTCTATTTATAGGAAAGATTCGAAAAGTTTTTGAAGAAACAACAACAAAAATTTTAATTAATTTATTGAAACTTGACTGACCATATAAATATAGACGCCATAGATATACTTTTAGTTTGTTTGGCTTATATTTTTCTGAATAAACATATTTGTTTCTTTTTAAATGTGATTATTCTCATTACATATTAAAAAATCAATAATACATTCGCGTAAAATGAATATTGCAATTAATTTAAATAAAACGTGACAAATTTTCAATCAATTTATTTTTCCATTGAGTCATTGTTTAACAACGTCGACTTAGATTGAATATTAATTGGCTGCAATTTACTGCAATCTATAACTGCAATGTACGCAGTACATTATGGTTATATAGTGAGGAATGCTTCAATTGTAAATTTTGCGAATACAACGAATTCTATTGCATTTAAAGTTCCTAGTGACCACCACCACATTACAATGTACACGTCGAGGCATTTCTAAAATTTTGAGTTTGTCTTTGTCATGTCACTGATGCAGTATTGATGATACGTGCTTCTCAACCACTCGTCAATTTATTGATTTTCAATTGTTATCACATTGTTCAATGTCAGTCAATTTAGTATCTCGAAGCGTCCTTGCACATTTGCTTGCTTAAGGCAGCAGTACAATATGTTGGTTTATACCCAAATCCTGCAGATAAAAATACATTTGTATTTTTAAATGTATTTTTCTTTTTACTCAATTGTCTATTGTTGACATCTGTGCTGTGCAATGGCATCACAAAGACATACTTGTCCCACAATTGTCATAATAACACTTTCTAAGCATACAACTACATGCATAAATATATGCAGCATATCTATTGAAAACACTCTTTACGTTTCACTGCACTTGTTGTTTGATCCTTACTGTAATCCTCCAATGCCTCGAAGGTTTTATGTTTGACCATTCACTGATGTACGTGTACATGCACAGAGTGCAGCTCATTGGGAACATCACAATTTGATAAATTGAATCAATTTGAATTTGTAAAGCTATTCACAGCGTTTACATTGTGTGCTCATCGCTTGAACTCCTGCAATGTGCCAATTACTATTTTCATTCTATTTGACACTGTCATTGCTTTATAGATGGATCTTTCATTATATCTAGTAAGTAAGCTGCAGTTACTGAAGCCAAAATGGTGAATTGCAGTTACTTCACTTTATTGTTAAGCAAATAGACTTTGATCACTGTAATATGTCTTTAATATATCATTTAGTTAATAACTGATTTTATTTCTCGGAAATGTAACATATGAGTTATATATTTTTTATATTAGATTTCAGTCTCTGTAAGTTAAAATGAAAGGGAATAGTTAGAATTTTAAAAGTTGAAATACCGTTGGCTTGTGCGAAATACCATTTGCAAAGAGTTTTAAATCCATATTAAGGTTTTATTTATACTATAATACAATATAATAAATTATAAAATATATATAATTTAATATATATAAATGCTAATAGGAGCAGTCATTAATTTTTTTATTCACGCCTATATTTAGTAAATATTCTGTATCTAATTTTATTTAAATAGCTTATATAAAAACTTAGAAAACTCATATCCGAATGTTTTGTTTATACGTCTGAATCGACAGTTTATGTAGCTACTACATCCAAATCTAAACTAATACAAATAAAGTTCTGCACAATTTTTCATATGATAAATGCATACATTCCGCATCTAATTTTATTTAAATATCTTAAACAAAAATGTAGAAACCCTATAATTGATTGTTCAGTTTATGTGATAGCGATGGGATATAGAGTTTCAATATCAGCCAATTCGACAAGTAGTCAAGATCCACTTCTGAAAAGTATATGTGTATATGTTTGATTTGTAGTAGTTTAGTTTAAAAACTGAATAACTGGTTGTAACTAAAACGAATACACAGAGGGACTGGCAGATAGAGCTATATAAACTCAACTCGTCAAACTGATTAGGAATATATATACTTTATGGGTTTGCAACGGTTTTTTGAAAGTGTTATATAAATCATGATAAAACTGTTTTTAATTTATTTTATGTGAAAATCTAAAAAATGAAAACGAGAAACGAGAAGACTATGAACAAATTTAAAAGTGCTAGCTAACTGTACTAAAAACATGTTATAACAAAAAGAGAAACTACTCAACAATTTTAAGTTTGAAAAATATATGGAAGAATAATCATATATACATGTCGCCATTTGTTATAAATTTTGTCATCATGTATTTTGTATTTTTAAATATTTTATGTGAAGAAAAAATTAAAATCCTTTCTAAAATTTTATTCAAAATGCAATTCAGTTAAAGTTGGATGAGCACAAAAACTTTGAATTAAATTTATCAATTTAAATTGTACTATTTCTACGCGTTTGATACAATCTTTTAAGTTAAATTTTTAACATATAAACTTTCATTTGGAATCCTCCACTAATTTAGTTAAAAAACAACAACCCATCAAGTGCTTTATTAAGCATGATGCCTTCTATTTCAATACACTCATGTACGCATTTTAATTAAATTTCTTCATGTGTCAAGGATACATCCTTTCGCATAAATGTTTAACGAATATGAAACTGAGCCGAAAGTTTCGGTAATGCCATGCATATATGCATAAGCTCAAGCACAAAACTACTAACGTCTTTTAATAATCTAAAACGAGAAAAAAATTAACAGAATCTGCAATGATCTTTTATAAATAGTTAATAAATTGTTAAACATTTGTTAAACATAACCCAAAACACAGAATATTAAAATATTTCCAACAACTCCACAAACAAATGCTGGCGTGGATATAACATATGACGAAGCAGACAGGCATTCAAACGCAAAGCTGCTCATAAATATTTTGTGTCTGGTAAATTATGCGTAGCATGTTTATGAATAAATCTTTTAATAAAATTTGACATATACACTAACATATTCGAAACCATACCTACTACAACAAATCCTGGTACACTGAAGCAGTATACGTACGCATTTTAGCTAAAGTAAATATAAGCCAACTACAATATATCAGCATATTTGCGTAGGTTCCTTTTTAATACTCGTATAAGCATCATCGACGTAGTGTATGTAATCATACCAAAATCCATAAAATACAATGGGCAAGGATACCGATACCGATACTGAAGCGCTGCAATGAACTCACATACGAAATCCTTTTTTGTTACCATTCCACCAGATGTTTTCTTTAAAATTAAATTGCGATGAAAAATATTTTTTAAATTGAGATCGCTAAGCAAAAAAAAAAATAAGAGAAGAAAATATTCAACAAAGCATACAATATGAATCTTCTAAACGAATAAGTTTTCAAATATTTTAAAAATAAACATACTTTGTAAAAAACGTTATGTATGAGTGCATAAAGCAATACTTTCATTCACTTGGGAATTTACCACAGAAAAACGCACAGAAATTTGTTAGGATAAACGGAAATTTGTACGTATTTTTCTTAGAAATTTAACGCATTCGCTCAGTGTCAGACGGTAGCAACAGTCAAATGACAGACTGTCACCTTTTTCCCAGCGTTCATAAGGTTTATTTCTGTACATCAATGTAATCCCAAATTTGAATCATTGTATTTGCATAGACATACTCGTGCATGGAGTATATACGTCTCCGAACAATACTAAGGTATTTCTATAGAAGGAAGCCTAGTGTATGTTTGACTTGACACACGTAAACTCAGTCCGTTGTACGTAAGATACAGATAAATTTGTGCGCTTATGTGTTTTCTTGACAGCTTCGTAGACGCATGTATATGTACTAAATTGCCATTGGCGTGAAATAAATCTCAGTGATGTTACAAAAACTTTACTTGCTGCTCTGTAAAGCGAGAATGACACTCATACATTGGCTTAGATATATAAATACCAAGACAAATTCAAATGTTAGTGTATGTGAACCGACAGTCGAGAAACAGAAATACTTGCGGTAAAGCAAACAACAAAGCCGTAAGAAATAACACAGTAACAATGCACATCAAATTGTCCCCTGTTGCAGGTTTTGTTAAGGTATATGTCATAGTTGTCTTGTTAGTGGCAAATGTCTCACTACGGGTCTCTACAAGCCAAACTAAGAAGTTTCAGTTGTCTGCTTTAAGCTTATGATTTTTTCAAGAGAGTTAAATATATATAGTATGTATTGATATATAAATTTCTTTAACTCCTAGCAGGAGCATAGGGCAGCAAGTATGTATTGATATGCAATTTGTATAATGGTCTCTTCGGAATTTTTGTCAAAATATTTTCATATTTTCTTAACAAATTTTACACACGTTATTCGGAGTTTTAACATAGAAAATGTTTTTTCACAAAATTAATTTACGTTACAGTACTGAAGGTGTTTAAATTTTGTTGAAATCATTATTTAGAACCTAACATAATACCATGTTACAATTCATATAAAATGACTTACTAATATCATCCAATAAAAACTTACTAGTTATAAACTAATTCAAACTTCTCAAGAAATTAAATCAAAATTTATGAGTATTTTTAAAATTAAAAAAAACAAACTTGGGAATGCCGACATCACTGTAACCAATAGTTTTCAATGCTAAACAAATCCAACAATTAAGTAAAGCAAATTATTTTTATGTTTTAATTTCATAATTTTTACATCTTATTTTAATTTCAAATTACATTAATATTATAATTTCGTAAGTAGAAACATTTTTTTTCTACTTTAAATATGCAATATTCAATAAGAGGTTTTTCGAACAGTTGTAAACTACAAAAACAAAAATTCATTTTATATAATCTTAATTAATAGAATTTTTGGGTGACCATACAGCTGTTTCGAGTATTGCCAAATACCCATCATCAGTGGTCTTGGAAATAATTCTTGTATATAATTATTCGTAAATAGTTATTTTTGAGACTGCAAGTACCAGGAATCTAACTCGTACCCTGCCAAATTTGAAGCTCAGAGTCAGCGCTCCTTAACCAACTGACCCAATTAATTTGTTGTGAAAGTTTTATTAACAAATTCACTTGCTGTGTTTATGTTAGAACGAAATTATAAACCAGCTATAGAATAATTGAATTAATTATATTTTTATTTTTAATTATTAAATTTTATATATTAAATGATTTATATATTCTTTATTATGTACAAAACCTAATCTAGAAACGTAATATTGAGAAACTCATGCTAATGTTACTCTGCGAGTCGCACGGGCAACATTCATCAAAATAAATAAAATTGAATTTGTTATAAATTTTTTATTATAAGTTTTTTATTAATGATAATTTAATCATTTATAAATATTTAACTTATTTTGTATGTATGAAAGACTACCTTTAAAATAAACTTGCATTTGTTCACATCTAATAAATGTTTAAACACTTCAAACATGTATTCCAATATTTACATGTACGAAAAAAACACTCATACGCACTGTTGTGTATTACAAAACATTCACTATATGTACATAACTAAAGCCTTACAAAGTTTTTTTTATTTTTTTTTGTTTTTATTTTTTTGTGTAATTCTTGTTTACTCAAAAGATTATAAAACAAATCTGGCCGAACAAATATATTAAATTATGTATGGTAAATAAATATGAAATTAAAATCTGCAATATTTAAAATAAATTTAATAATAAAATGATTTTTATTTAATTTAATAGCAATAATAAATATAGCAAAAACTTTAATTACAAATAATTTTATTAAAATTTCTGTTTTTTATTAAAATTTCTGTTTTTTATAAACGTTTTGCAGGAATTGTACTCCTGGGACAAAGGCAACGCACTAACATATCCCATACGTTATCATGAGCAGAATTTAAACATTGACCATACAAAATAGTATCGACAATGAAATTTATTTATAAAAACTGTAAACAGTAAATGAAAATGTACTTAAAAATGTGTAAAAAAAACCTATTGTCACATGAAATGCAAAAATAATATTTAAAAAAAAAATTATAAAAAAATATTTGTTTAACCGGAAAAGGACACAACAACAATACCAACAAAAAAGAGCTCACGTGCAAAGTCAAACAAAATGGCAAATTTTACAATAAAGTTTTGTATTTACCACATTGGCTTTGAGAAATATAAATGAATTTAATTTATACGTACCAGTGCATGTAAATTTATATGAAAACTGATATATAACGAAACGTATACATATATATATGACTACATTGAAGCTGATTTCCAATGACATACTCGCTGTTACTGCATTTTTATTTAATTTTTGTTATATCACGATTTTTTTATAAGCTTAAAAAAAACTTTCATTTCAACATTTTCTAGTGAAAATTTGTAAAAAAATTTAATAAAAGTAAAAAAATAAAATAGAAAGTCTTCAACATCAATGCACGAGTAAATCATTTTTTAAGCAATTATCATGTGTGCGATAAGAGAGATAAAAAATTACAAAAAAAAATATTATATACATACATTTCTTAAAAAAATCAAAATCAAATTAAATGTTTGTGTAAATGTTAAAAATTTATATACGAGCGCAGAATGTGCACGTGCAAATCAAAAATTAAAATCGAAATTTTAGATAAATTTTAACAAATGAATGCTAGGGAAATTTTGAATGCATAATTAAGTTATAAAAAAAAAATCTACAAAAAAATAACATTTGAAATTAGGAAGAGATAATAAAAATTCATAATAAGTGTATTTTTGTGTAATTTAGCAATAATGAAATTAGTTTTAATAAAATAAATGTGCAATACTAATTTGTTCAATCCGTTGTTTTTGTTAAATAATTTTATTTCACTTTATATGTTTAACGATTATATAAAATATTTATTAAAATATTTATAAAATATTTTCATATATAAAACAAAAAATAGAAAACTCCGCAAAATATGTACATTCGTATTTAATTATATAGTGCATTCTAGTTGGCGTGAAATTTCAAAAATATTTCGCTCGAATGCAATTCATATATCATAATTTTTCATATTTTTGCAGAAGGATAAACTCAACCGATTATAAAAATTACACCAAAATGCCAAATAATACCACAAAAATTTATTTGTACCACATCATATATTTATATTAAAAAAGAGTTAATTTTACTGTTTCATATTGTGAACCACAATTATGGCTGGAATTGAATTAGAAAAGTTTAAAAATTATTAGTGGAATCGAATGAAAACTATGAGAAAAATTTAATTGTAATAAAATTTCAGCTAAAAATACTAATGGAAGAATGGCCATCATGGTTTGGAGCCAAAAGTGACATGATAATGCATAGTAGAATATTGTTTGTTCCGAAACTGAAGTAATTCGAGCAGAGCAGAGTTAGCACCAAAATTTTATATGTCACTGTCTTCCAAGCAGATATTCACGCCATTATAAGTATTTAACATTATCTTTTTGTATATACATATATTTATTTCTTTTGTTTTTGTTTAAATTATCAATTACCTTATTTTTACATATTGATTATGTTGAAGTTAGTTGAGTCAGTGCACTTGAGTACTTTTAATTTCTATTAACTGCGAGCTTTCTTCAAATAATTTCAGGGCTCTATCCTTTATGTATTTTTTGATCGGATCAATCATGAGGTCCCTAAAGATGTCATGCGTCCTAATGTACCATGGTACCATGAAAAGACTTCTCAGAGGCTTTGTGCAATTTCTAGCTGGCGAATGGTAGTGTTTGAGGCTTTGCTAATCGCTACATATTCATATAGAAGTGACGGTCGAATTATTTGGTTATATATCAGTTTCCTGTTCTTAGCATTGAGATTTTCATTTCTGAAAAGCGGTTGGAGAGGATGAAGAATTTTGTCACAGCTAATTTTTTTCAGTTGAACATATTTAAGCCATGTGAATCGTTTGTCCAACGTGATGACGAGATATTTAACGCTATCCTCCCAGTTTATTATCATATCTCCTACTCTAACTCTCGGCGGTTTGATATCTTTCATAATTTAATTAATTATACCTAATTAATTAATATTATTGGACAGAATTATATATATTCCATAAAGAATTAAAATTACCTCGCATATGTAAGTATATCAAAAATTCAGCCAATTTCCGCTTAACTCTGCATAAGAGTATCTTTGTGCATAAAATTACTGAAAAGGACGAAGAGCAATAAGCGAAATAGCCAAAGAATTGTGTTCCAAAGTTGTATGCTTAAAATTGTAGCTTTTCAACACTTATTAGCAACTTTTCAAAACTTTTTTCCAAAAATGCCATAACAAAATATTTGGAATTATGCGGAATCCGTTTGTAACGCCATCTTGCAATGTAGTTATGAGATAACAACATTTTGTGGTTCATGGTAGGATTTCTGACAAAAGTGAAAATTCTTTTGGTTAAGCGAGAATGAAAAAAATTGCATGAATGGGGAAAATTTTTTGATACCACAAACACCGAATCCAAACCAAACCAAGAAGAATGTGTGTAAAAATCTGTTTAACTTAATTGGTTTTCCGTTTTATACGGTTTTACCCAAAATACACGCAGTACTTAAATTATTCAAATTACAAAAAAGTTGAATAAAAAAACAAGAAGTGAATGAATACAACCGATGAAATACTCACTCCTTAATTATTTAAACTTTAGGTTCATTACAGAGACTATTATGTGCTTGTGTGCTTTTCTACCTGTATTTATTTATTTGACATATTTATTCATACATATGTACGCATATATATTTATATATATATGTATATATGTATGTATATTCATTATTAAAATGAATTTCTTGTGCTACAAATATTGCAACTTAACACGTGTATACTTCTTAGCAAGTCTTTTGCATAGCAAATACAAAACTGAATGAGTTATTGACTAGATTCATCATTCTTTTGTTGTCTTTGTATTTCCTCCCAGTTGCCTGATAATAGAACAAAGTTTAAAATTTTGCAAAATTTATGTTTTGCGATATGTCGAAATTGACAGATAAAGTATATTTGTACACATGTTAATATATTGACTTTGCATAATTCATTTAAATTTTAACAATAATACTGATTAAATGGTAGAATCTTTCGTGTGGAAGCCTTTTTCAAAAACAACATTGGACTGGAAAAGAGATAAATATCTGTATCTGTATACATTCACTACTTCTTTTTATATATAAATATGTATATTAATATTAGTATATTCTAGTTTTTATTCATTATTACTTGCATCTTTAGTTTTAAATTTTAAAGTGATGAAATATAGTTTAATGGTTTCTCAACTTAACTAACAAGGTGACTGTTTATAATATTATATAAATTAAACTCAAATTTTTGGTATTCAAACCATCAAAAAGTTATACCATACATATAAAAATTTGGATATTTTAAGTCCAATTTAATAGAATACATTGTGGCCGAAAGGTTTTCGGAAGTTCTCATTTAAAATTCGCGCGCTGTATATTTTTCGATATTTTAAGTTTATGTAGTTTGGCAGCACTGTCCTTAATTACTATGCCAAAAATGAGCGCGATCTGTCAGACAGTTCGTTTACGGCAGCTGTTGAAACCAGTTCACCTCAGTAGTGCGTTGCGAAAAAAACAATGGAAAAAAATATTGAACAAAGAGTTTGCATCAAATTTTGTTTTTCGAACGAAATTTCGTGTGCAGAATCGTTGCGAATGCTACAAAAGGCTTATGGGGAATCAGTTTTATCGAAAACTCAAGTTTATGAGTGGTACAAAGCCTTTCAGGACTGTCGTACGACCGTCGAAGACATGCCGCGTTCTGGACGACCTTCGACCTCTACCACCGACGAAAACATTGAAAAGGCAAAGGAAATCGTGTTCAAAAATCCTCATGTGAGTGTTAGAGAGATAGCACGAGAGCTAGGCATCGGTCGTGAGATGGCTCGTTTGATTTTGGTGGACAATTTGTGTATGCGACGTGTCAACGCCCGGCTTGTTCCGATTCACCTCAATTTGTTCAACATTATCAACGATTTTAAGGCCAAACATTCAATAAATACCATCGAACAGCCACCGTATTCACCTGATCTTGCACCGTGTGACTTTTTCCTGTTTCCCAACCTCAAATTACCACTCAGAGGAACGCGTTTTGAATCCATAGAAGACGTAAAACAGAATTCGCAGAGGGAACTCAAAGCCATACCGGAAAGCGCCTATAAAATATGTTTTGATGATTGGAAGAAACGTTGGCATTTGTGTATCGCTTCTAATGGAGCATATTTTGAAGGAGATAAAATAAATATTGATGAAGATTAAGAATTTTGCGTTTTATTTAGAGTTTCCGGAAGCTTTTCGGTCACAATGTATATCAAAAAATATCAAATTAAAGCTAAAAACAGAAGCTATTTATGATCAATAGTTATTCCATGTAAATAACAAATCAACAACATTATTTGCTAAGATAATAAAAGCAGATATTCAATATTAAAACCATTTAAACCCAATAATGGTTTAATAAAATTTAAATTTATTTAAATTGAATAAATCCTTTAAATTTTCAAAAATTTGTTAGGAAAGCACGGAACCAAAGAGCTGCATCCATACTTTCTGCATCATGATAATTCGTCAGTTATTACTGGTGGAAAACCTAACGCTCTCAGGAATTAAAGAAATCCGTCCAGCGCCATATTTAATGAATCTAACACCATGTGATTTCTAGTTTCTTCCAAAATTAAAAAAAAAATTAGAGAGAAGGCCATTAGCGTAGTTAATCTTGAAGCTGTAAACATAACACATTCAATTTTGAGAACTGTTCTAGAAAGCTCATCTACAGTAATGTAAGATAAATAAAAACTAATGAAAATATGTTGAAAAAATAAAAAATGATAAAGGTTTTGAAACGTCAAAATGATGAAAATCAAGAAGATATGAAACTAAAATTTAATAAAAATTTTTAAGTATTTTTATAGTCAACTGAGTCAACATTTAATATACATTTTGTACGGAATGTGTTTTGTATGAATTATCGTTGTT